GAGTCCTGCCTGTGGGGAACTGCAGCACTGTGTCTGCGAGAAGTCATTTTCTCTGTGTGCCTGGCGCCCGATGGTGCCTGACATCTTTCAGCGGCAGGTTCATGGATTATGTGACTTTTGTGTGTTCTGATGCATAACACCTCAGTGGTTGGATTGTAACAATATCTTGGATCTCAAGGAATGATCATCAACAGTGCTCTGCTTGGGCGATTATGCAGCTGACGGCTATCTCTTCGCCTTGGTATATAACATTTCCTGCTGACAGGTTCAATAGCAGCTGGTCGCCACAAATTTCCTGCAGATGTGAAGATCGACCTCTTACCTATAGCTTCAGCAGAAACGAGCTTGGATTTGGTGGTGTGCGCCATCAGCGTAATTCAGCGATGATCGCTGAGGTTATGAACACGGCCAGGAGGATGGGAAGGGAGAGTTTGCCGATGCCGGCGAAGGCGCCTGCAGCGAAAAGGAGGGAGTCGCCTGGGAGGAAGGGTGTGAGGACGAGGCCCGTCTCACAGAAGACGATGGTGAAGAAAATGGCATAGGTGGCAGGGCCATGGCTGGCAATGAGCTGCCCAAGGTGGTGGTCGATGTGCAACACGAAGTCCACAAGGCCTAGGGCATGGGCAAATGTCAGCTGCAACCTTCCATGCATTTTTGGAACACAACTCACCATTGCAAGTTGCAGCATGAATATACTTCCTTTGTCCAAGATTAATTGTCTTCTATGAATTGGGGCCATTACTTATCCACCTTGACCTCATCATTTTTCAATGAAGTTTCTCCCAAAGTTGTGCTTGCAAGTTTGCAGCATAATATCAACATTTCATGTCAATCCATTGAATCCTGCAGATTTGGCATCACTTCGTAGCAAGGGTTCTCCCCCAAAAAAACACCCATTTTTCAACACTCTTTGGAAAACAGCCACGCAAACTGAGAACTTTGTTCTTTAGTGAAATTCATCCCAAATCTATGCTTATGAGTTTGGAGTGTGTGGTCCAAAAATCAAGTCAATCCATTAAGAATTCCAGATTTGGGATCAGTTTGCATCAAGCATAATTTACCCAATATACCTCGATATTGGGGGTTCAAAATGACCAAAAGTTTCCTTTCGCCTAACACTCACGAGGTTGTGTCTCACTTATTCGTCTTGAAAATTGGTAGCTAAGGGTCTTTGAACCCATTATTTCCGATTCTGAACCTCTTTTGTAATTTTGAGGTGGTCTTTGTCACGAGTTTTGTCTTCCAAATAGAGGACAATTAGTCTTGGACAGAGGAAGTATTCGTTATATTCTGCCTCCGTGCCCCTCCCTCCTCTCCCCGCCAGGTTTCCAGACTTGTGCTTCAAAGTTTGCCACTGAACTGGGCAGGATAAGAAGCTAATACAAAGGTTGTTCTGCTGAAAATTGTCCCAAGAACTCGTTCCTCTCCAACACACAATCAATATATTCGATTCTGGGGTGCAGGATTGAGCCCTGCATAATGCAGATTGTGGATTTAACTATAATGATGACATTCGCCCACAATTCTTTGACAAAGCGTTCACGGGGACGCCTCCATTGAAAGTGGATGACAGGCACAAAATTCCATCGGCATTGTTTGTTTACCACAGAGTGGTTGCACATTTTCCCGTGCTCCACAAGGTGCGTGACAATGAATGCGAGCCATGCCCACCCAGAGTTCTGAAAGCACCTAGAAGGACAGACCGGGGTCCGTGCGTTTCGAGCTTGCAGTTCCCAGTCATCCGCCACTGGGCAGACCGCTGCCTCGTTGCCAATGCAACAGCTCTTGGTTGTTCAATCTTTCACCGAGGCAGTTTTGGGAGAGTCAAAATGAAACAAATTCATTCGCAACATTAAACAAAACTGGGACGAATAGCACGCAAATTGCCCCGCACCGCTCCCCGGCCGAATTGACAAACCCCGCCAGTCCAAGCCAACGCCGTCCATCACCACGCGCCCGACAGTCCACCCCCGCCCCTTCCCTCTTTCGATCAAAACAACCACGATCATCACCTTTGCGCGTCCGCGCCGCGACCACCCCGCACCTTTCACAAGCGACAGAGGCGTCACGGGGTTCGCGGTGGCCGCCGCAGACGCTGCGAACGCTGGCCCCGCCCCGAGGGCCATCCTTGCCGCCGCGCACAGCGCCAGCATCAACACCAGCCTCCCAACCTCCCGACCGAGACGCCTCCGCGCCGTCGACTCCTCAGCCGGGCGCCCGACGATCGCCTGCGCGCGATCCCAATCCGCGCCATCAAATCCTCTCGCCGACTCGCGGATCGATCCATGGCGAATCAAGGTTGGGATCGGACGCTGTTGGAAGATGGAAGGAAGGTAATGGGGGCGGCGCGGCCCGACACGGGGGGCGGAGAGCGGGCGCGGCGCCCGGCGGGGGGTGGGCGCGGAGGATCGGGCGCAGGCGGCCCGGTGCGCTGGGGCCCCGCGCGCCTCCATCGTCGCGATGGGTTGGTGGGGCCTCGTGGGAGATGGCGCATTTTTGGCCACATTGGGGCCCCGGCAAAAACTAACGCGGGCATGAGTCATCCTCATCATCAAGAAATATTATGACGCAAGAGGCGAGGAGGTGGTCATGAAGTCCCTGTATCAAGACGAATAGGCGACCATCAGCCCTCCATTTGGGAAGACGCTTGTTGCTATGTCAATTTGATGCTAAGCTCAGAGAATCCCCCACCCCAGCGTCAATCCTTACGTTGGTGCAAGGATGACTCAGCAACATTACCTGATGGTGATACGCAACTCTTAAGTGGTTTTATGGACAAAAGACCACCAAATTTTTGCGCTCATTTCTGTGGTACACATGGAATTGTACATGCCAGTGTAAGCGAGGCGGGCAGCCTGAATGGCTGCAAATTGATCCATTCTAAGCCATTCTAAGGCCTTCTTTGACAATCGGATACTTGCAGGAGGTTTAGGAAGAAATCACAGGGTGTTTCCTCCTCATCAGTGGCGGTTTTGGGCACCTTCTTTCCTTATGTCGGTTTTGTGGCAATTACTGCAAAAGGTGGCCGTCTGACATGGCAGCCACCCGGGCGAAAATCCACCAGGCGCCAAGCCTTCGCCTGTCCCGCCTTCCGGCTCGATTGGATTTGCGTCGAAGGGGACGAATCTGGGGTCGTACAGCTCCCCGCGAAGACGTCGCCAGCGATTCCGCCACGGAGAACCCGGCTCCAGCTGGCCTCCGGGCCTTGCACATCCAGGCTCACGCAGAAGTCCGGGCATTGGGTGGGAAACACGCGGGAAGGCGCTTCAATTCTCACAAATTCGCTTAGAAACTCATGCACTCGAACGGCGAGATTGCAGTGGGCGTGCTCTGCCGAAATTCGACCGCAGGAGATCTCAAACTGTTGGCTGTGAAGCCGATGTGTTGTGCTGCGTGCCACGGCCTTTGTGTGTGGGTCGTACACGAGGAGAATGCCAGCATTCTCCTCGTGTGCGACCCGTACGCAAAGGCTGTGGCGCGCAGACCGACAGATCGGACGGACGGACCATAGTCCGTGAAGTTGTAAAGTTGGATTTTCGCCACTTCCTAGCCATTTTTTGAGGCTCACGGGTCACCAGCTTGCCATAAATTTCACATCATATTTTGGCGACCCGAACACTACATAATCTCTTAGCGTCACAGGGCGGGATCCCCTCCCCCCCCCCTTGCGTCAATTTGACACTAAGCGTACCACAATCGACATGGTGTCTTCCCTTGTCCCGAGAACAACATCGCCCATGCTCAATGAGAACCCAAGACAATGCTGCCATCCAGCCACTGATTTGTTGCACATCAGAGCGCGAAAATTCACAAGATGGGGGAGTAGTCAAAGTGCCTCAGCCCAATATTTGCATTTCCAAGCATGATAATTCATGAACTGTCATCAAGCCCGGTGCCATCAATGTCATCGGACGGGATTCATTCGCACCTCGTCGCCTCGCTATGCAGACGCCCGTGATGATGAGGGTTCGTGCGAGGCAATCGGCAGGAACAAATTCCCTAGAATCAGGCGGAGTTGTGCTGCTTTTGAATGCGCCAGCCTTCTGAGGGCTCAAAGGGTAGGATACGATGCACTACCTTACGGCTGACCCTCCCCACTGCCGCACTGCTCTTAATAATACCGTACATCAGACCCGCTTCCAACGCTGCCGTACTCCACGCGCCCAGTGTGTGCCGCTCGCGCACTCAGGGCACATGCCGCAGGCGCCCCCGCTGGTCCCCTCGGCCTCCTCCGCCCTCACCCACCTCCGCCAATCGCAATACACAGCGGACCGCTGATGGCAACGCTCACCACGCGCCGCGCGCGTGCGCGGCGCAGCGCGCGGAGGCCAGTCCCCCCTTTCGCGTCACCGACAGTTTCGGCGAAACTTCCGACGGGCCTTGAGCTGCTGGAAAGGTGGCGAAGAGGGGATGGGTGGTGGCGCCTTGGCTGCGGAGGGAAGGCAGTGGATGGATCTGACGGATATTTGATCATGCCGGTGGGGGCCTTCGGGGAGCTGGGGGCCTGGGATTGGATCCCGAGGCGGCGAGGAGGAGATGGGGAGAACTGGCGCTGCAGGCGCCTGCAGGTAGTGGCATGAGCGCAAAGGGGTCGAGAGGCTAGCTCTGACAAGTAAGTTCGGCGCGCAAACGAATCAGTAAATTGGGGATGTGCGACGGGAGGGCAGGGATTCGGAACAGGAGATGTGTTTGGACGGGGGATGTCACTGCGCGCGGGATATGTCGCTACGCGCTGACAGACTTTGTGTCAGAGATCTCGCTGCTCCGCTGCGCTGCGTGCGCCCGGGGCGATGGGCTGGGGCGCGTGGGTTTGCGCTCTTGGCACGGAGATCTTGACGTCATGGCGGAAGTGTCGGTGGCCATCTTTTGGGCTGACCGTGTCGGCCACGGCCGACTGGTGGCCTTCGTGGGGACTGGTGTGCGACGGGCTAAAAGATCCCCGATGCTCAAGCGCGGGGATCTGTTTGCTGGTCGTCGAAAATCGCCGACACTGCGCCTCCATGTTTTTCAGGTTCTTGGCGCTCGGAGGACCGATCATGGGCATGCGCATGGCGACTTTCGTGCTGTGGCTGCTGCTGCACATCTTTCTGGGGCACCTGGGCATCGCGCAGCTGTCGGCGGGACTGCTGGGGTTCACGGTTTTCCGCGGCACGACGGTGTCGGTCTTGGTCAACCTGTCGACTGGACTGAACACAATCGGCGGACAGGTACCACCACAGGCACATTTCTTCACGCTTTCGTCCTGATTGTGCATATGTCTGCCCCGATTTCTTAAGAGTGGCATAAAATGAAGCCACAGTTCCCACACTCCCCAGTTCGCAATAGTCTTGTGCATTTGGTGGGTGTTCAACCCCATCCCCAACGAAACAACACAGTAAAAGGGAATGGCAAGATCAGGTCTCGCACACAGCAACTGTTCTTATCCCAGGGAACAGCAGAGAGGCCACACAATGAGCGGCCCCTTCCCATGCCCAATGCTGGTAGACTATTTGCTTGTGTAGGACAAATGTGGGACAACTGGCATGAATGTCTCCGAGAGCACGAGGGAGTCCAGTGCGCTAGCACGCAGGTGTTGCTGTCATTTGCTGTTTCTACCACCCTATAGCACTACTTCTGCAGCATTCAAATGGCCATCACATCGCTATTCTTTGATCAAGAGGATGTTGTCCATTTTTTTTTTTTTTGCACGTTTTGTGATGACATTACCACCTGCGATGTGGCTGCTTCGCAGGCATATGGTGCAAGAGAGTACAAGTTGGTGGGCCTTGTGTTCCAACGCTGCCTTGCCTTCTCTTGCCTATATTCTTTGGCCATCGCTGTGCTGTACAGCCAAAGTCAGTGGCTGTTCAGCCACCTTGACCAGGTCAAAGAGTTGGCCATGGCAGCTGGACAGTTCCTGCTGAGGATCTCTCCAAGCACACTGCTGATCAGCCCCCTCTACTGCCTGCACAAGTACTGGGCAGCTCAGAAGGTCACTTTGCCGGGCTTGGTGGCAGGTGCAGTTAGTGTCTTCATTGCCCCATGTGTGTTCTGGGTTTTTATCTTCAGGTGGGTCAGGCCTGCCCTCTCAGCAGGCTTCTGTTTAGTGTACTTTTTGGCACTGTTGATTTAGAATTTCATATTGATTGGCAGCGATCTTTTGATTCGCAATTTGTGCAACACATAACTATGTCATGGACATTGGCTGTGCACTGATGTATCTGATGCTGGGGACATCAGTTCAATTGGCCAGGTGGCAGCAGCACAATGCTGCTGCAACAATTGCAGAGCTGCTCAATGCCTTGACACTGCAAGGGCATTGCTGTGTCATTTGTCAGGAGAGGCATATGGAAGAAATTGACACACATCCCTCTGGATTTGCTCCTTTAGGATGGGGTGGGGTGTCAATGGTGGCGCACTCGCACTGGACGTCATCATTGCTTTTCGGCTTGCCATTTTAACGATCTGGAGCATGGCGATCAATTCAAGAAAGGCAAAGACAGAAGCGGAGGACCTTGCGTGGCATGGATGGTCACTTCAGGCATTCAGGCAATGGGGAGGACTACTGAAAATCGGGGTGTATGCGATGCTCATGATGTCTGTCAGAGGGTGGCTATTCGATTACTTTGTCCTGATTGCAGGTGACCATTCAGGTTGATAAATACATGAACACGGTATGAACAACATGCACATTCCTGTTCCAAATTTACAATTCATTTGATGGTGTCATGTCTGGTCCCATTCTAGCAGAGGAGTTTGGAGTACTTGGCATTCCCAACAATATTGATAGGCAATGCAAGGCACCAACAAGGGTAGTTTGCATTTTTTTGAACTTGACATTGCTATGCAAATACATGCAGCACTTGAGGTGGCTTCAATAACATTTGTTCTTGCAGCAGAGGAGAGGACAGGAAAATGAACTGGGAAGGAAGGGGTGGGGAAAACCTTCAGATTTATGCATCAGCATCCCACTCACAGCAAGAAGCAATCTGTTCCCACAGAGTGACACTTGATTGTAGAAGTCCTGTACGGTGAATTGTACAACAAGAGCAATACTGCAAATACTGGAAGTGCATTGTGCTGCCCCAGGTTGTTGTCGATTATGGGGTTAAAAGTCCACTGCTTAAGCAGCCTGTTTCTGCAACCTGTTCTTCGGTCACCATGGAAGCCATTCATAGAGCACTGCTTCCTGCATTTCAATGTTCAATAGAGCAGCTCCAATGCAATCATCTTTGGGTGTGCCCAAAGGAGTTTGAATGAGATTGCTAAAAGTAGGCACCCAGTTGGAGGTTAACCACTGCTGCGCTAAAATCGATGTGGTGTTCCTATATGCCCAAACCCATGCGCCTTAAAGAAAACCACAGCATCTATGGGCTGGTTGAAAGCAAACTGCTGTGAACTTTTGTCAGCATCCTCCAAACTGTCATCACAATGCTGCAAACATTTGGAAGAAATTTTGCAACCTGTCATCACAGAATCTGCTGTTTTTGACATTTTCTCTTGGCAATATGGCTGCCGTGTGTACCCACAGGCATCCTGCCAGATGCTGAGGAAGCTGTGAGCATTTTCGGCATCTCCCTTTACCTTTCCGGCATCCTGCAGGTCGTCACACGTGCCCTGAGCTCAGGCCTCTCATTTGCAGTGGCCCATGAACTGGGTGCTGGCGATGCGATCCAAGCCAAATATACTCTGCAGGTGTACATTCTCTCACCTCTTGAAAAAGGGCAGTCCCCTTCCTGAGCAAGATGTTTTCGAGACTATTTGTCACACTGTTGAAGGAGAAATGCTATTTTACCAAGTGCATCACGCACATTGCACGTCTGCGATTGCTGCACTTTGCTTCAGTCACGCGGACAGTGCAACCCAAACTCTTCTTATATTCATTGCTTGTCTTATATGAGGTATGTCTCAAGCAGTTCTGTGACACCTGTCAGAAAATGGTGAGTGATGTTCACCTTAACAAACTTTTGCTCCCAGAGTGTGTGTGGTTCCCCATTTGGGTTAGCGCTAGTGTGCACAGCTAGCTTAAGAACAAGCAGTGTTCAGAACAGCATGTGTATGTTCCCATGGTATGTCTGGAGTGGTTGATCATCGATGATAGTAGTTGGCCAGTGAGGTTTGTACTTGTTGGGGGAGAGGCAAACTATTTCAATGCCCTTGTGAAGTTCAGTGTATCTCACAGAACGGCAGATTCTATGATCTTTGTTTTTCAGTACCATGTAGTGGGAATCTTGATTGACCAACCGACAAATCGAAGGCTGACGGATCCAGTGAAAGTGCAGGTTGCTTCCCTGGTGATGATTGCGGTGGGCCTTTTGTACAATGGTGTGCTGGCTGCGTGTTCGAGGTTTGTTGGATTGGCATGGACACATGATGAGGGCGTGGTGTCCAAGCTACCTCCTGTGATATGGATTTCCTGCTTTGCGAACATGGGTAGGGTGCTCCCTGATCAGATTCACCGTTGTTTATGGGGTAACAGTACACTCAGTACAAGTAAAAGTCAGGGATTTTGGCAACTAGTAATGGTGTTAGCAACAGGAGCAAACAATAGTTGAAACAGGGAACAGCAAAGAAGAGCGAAAATGTAGAATAAGAGAATGAAAAAAGAGCCAGGTAGAATTGCGAGTTTCATGTTCCTTCTGTTCAAGCATTCCTAGTTGGATGGTGCCTCAAACATTTCCCAATTGTGTGCAATGCAACATTGCAACAGCAACAATGGCAGCGATTGCTGCTCATTCCACGACTTGTTGTTCATCCATGGGCTGAAAATGTTTGTTCCACCAACACAGCAACTCAGTTGTCCTGTCTTTTTGCCTTCACAGAGTGAAAAGGACCTGGTCAGCACATTGATGTTATCTTTGGCTGGTGCATGGTGTGACTTGGAACAACCTATGTGCCAAAGTAGCAATGGTATCAATCATCTTCCCCAATTGCTGAAGGGATTCCCTTGAGGCTGGCAAAGTTGCTCATCGTCTGACCGTGGGAAGAATGATGCCTTTTACTCACAAGACGATGTGGGGTGATCGTTGCGAAAGCCTTGACCAAAAGTCTGACTGAATCTTTTGGTGGACAACACATGGACCTGAAGAGTACTTGTCTGACAGCTGGTGTGCCAGGGAATCTCAGATCTGGCTGTCAGCTTGTGTGTGCAGAACTTGAAGCGCACACTCTATTGCTGCATTTGAGCAATGCACTCTGCCCAATGCTGCTGCGCATTGCGTTGCAAGTGCCAACAAGAAGCCAGATTGTGTGCTTCTACTACATTTGTATCTGTGCGGCTAGATCATAATGGGCACAAATCCAACTACAGTATATAGCATGCTTTGGCGCATTGAATCCAAAGAGACCTTGCTTGAATGCGTAGATCTGCGTTGCCTTGTAGGTCAGGCTGTAGTGCACATCTTCTCTGGAGCCCTGAATGGCTGCCGCCGCCAGAAGGAGGGCTCTTGGGTGGCTACCCTCCTGTATGGTCTCATTGGCATCCCTGGCCCCTGGCTCTTCGCCCTGAGCATGAGATGGGGCGTTGCTGGTTTGTGGGCCACAAAATTAATCGTGGTGGTGCTTGAGATGGCACTGTTGGGTGCCCTGGTGGCGCAGCTGGACTGGCAACAGGAGGTTGAGCGAGCGATGGAGGTGGTCCAGAGGACGAAGCGGGGCCCCCAGGGAAACCTGCCTTTTGCTCGGGATGGAGGGCCCCAGACCAACCTGTCGATTAGTGATGATGGGGAGTCCCAGACCAACCTATCCATGAGTCGTGATGGAGGGTCCCAGACCAACCTATCCATAAGTCGTGATGGAGGGTCCCAGACCAACCTGTCGATTAGTTACGATGGAGAATCCCAGACCAACCTGTCGATTGGGCATGACGGGATCAATCTGTCGAAAGGTCAAGCTGGGGGAAGTGAGGAGAGTGAGTAGGATTGTTTTGGTGGAACAAGAAACCTGTAGGGCCGATATTGATTGGAAATTAGAAACACCAAACTGCTGATATTCAATTTGTTTTATGTTCAGCAACAGAGTTCATGATGTTGCCTCCCAGCCGCAAATCTGTTTAGTGAAATAATGGGCTTAGTAAAATGGAATTAGATATGGCCATGGACTGAAACTAAATACCGATTGCAGAACTTGAAAATACCAAAGGCTGCCTGTACTGTGGTGCCCAGTAATAGACCATATGTTTGCCTCTGTAGACCTGGTCTGGAAGTAAAGCTGCTGGATGGCCATGAAATGACGGGTTTGGGACAAGGCAAGAAAGGGATACCAGGAAATGCAGGGGGATATTGTGGAGGCGACGGGCTTGTGTGCACGGAAGCATCCCTGGAAGAGGATTGTCAGGAACAAGGGTCCAGGTCGATTTTGGGGAATAAACGGCAGTATGATTGTTCACAGGCTGTCCTCACTTTGTGTTCTTGTAATGGCACCACAACTGCAGGGTGTGCATTGTTGCCGAAATCGACTGTCGTCGTTTTCATGGATTGGCAGCTAGGTTTGATTCCACCCATGGCTCCGACACAGAGCTGAAGATTGCCAGGGTCTTGGATGCTGTGCATTCCAAAAAGGGCATGTATAGTACAAGGAGTTGGAATGATTTTGCAGCCCTGCTAGCTAGGCACTGCAGTGCTGCAGCACAGAATATGCGCTCAGTGCCGTGTCATCTGCAGATGTTGGAGGCAGCTGCTGTGCAGAGCAAACTCATTGCGATGGCGTTGTGCCTGAGCCCTGCCCATATGGGGTGGAACGTGACTGCGGCTCGCAAGACTCTGGGTCTTGAGCACCAGTGCTGTGGGCTTCTTTTGAGTGTGGGTGGTGGTACCGCAAATGGTCTGCTGTCCTGTGAGATGCAACAGAAGTGAAGAAACGGAAAGGAACACAGGGAGAAAGACAATTTTTGCATGACACAGCATTGCTGTCCGCAAGGGAGGACAGTGCACCTGGCTTCGATTTGGATCCACTGTGGAACATGCATGCTTCAACGTGTAACTTCATCAATTGCAATTTTTGGCAACAGCCGTGCTTGTCTAGTCTCATATCATTCCCTTGTGCACGGTGTGGAAGATCTGTGGCTTGCACCGGCCCTAACAGTGTGTAGTTGTCCTGCTTTTGTCGTGGCACGTTGCCCAAATGAAGACCTGGCAGTTCCTGCCCCCAGGTAGACCCCAACCACCTTGATGGAACCAAGGATCTGCCAGCTGGGGTCTGCCAGCTGTTGGATGGCAGGGAGGCTTGGGGGCCAGAGAGGACTGAGTGACAGAATGGGGAAACAAACCTGGGCGACCATGCGCAGTGTGAAACCTCGTGATACTACGCTGATGGGACGCGGATGGGACACCTCGACGAGGTTTGCTCTTCAAGTCGTTTGCGCTGCAGAAACGCGACCAAAGTTTTCGTTCCAAATTTAGGGCAATCGTCCTGCAGCAAAGAAAGCATTCAACACTGAAAATGCACGGAGCAGAAAAAATGCGATATCGTAAGGAGCGCTCACGCTGTCAGGACACATTGCAAGAAAATTGCCTTGTCGCGTGGCGGCACACTGCATTGCAGGGCCTGCAGTGCAGTGTTCACCACACATTCCGAACTGGGCGATGCTAGCGCATTAGGAAGGACTGGTTGGCTGTGGGGCTCATCGACTCACCATTCCAAATGCGTTTCTATGCCGCACCCCCTTTTGAACCGAAAAGCACCCCGCGAAACGATACACAACGCACCAACCACATGCAGAGACCGTATCGCTTTCCGCAGCAGATAATAGTGTGCTCCGTGGACTCCGCTGATTGATGGTCATCCCATACCTTTTCGTAACTTGGGCAACGCTCACAGGGACGAGCCACTGCCACGAATTCTGCCAACCGCGATGTGTGTTGAGATTGTTACATGGTAGGATGATGGCATCATTTATACATCAAGCATGGAGCACGTCTGCATGAACTTGCAATTCGTGGCAGATACACGATTCCGCAGGCACGGTGCCATGCTGTTCCATCGCTCATGAATGCTCAATTCAGCGTAGCAAATTGCAGTCACGTCGTCACCAATGACAAGCAAAAACAACACGTGCCCCTGAGCATGTTCAGGCCCTTGCATAACGATCTCATGCAGCATTATCATACTAACAGAATGGAGCCACATCAAAGCACGCACATGTTCTCTGTTTTCTAGTAATCTAAATTTCGTATTTCGGACAGGCTCCTATCTTGCCCCAAAATTTCTATGTGCATAATCATTAGCTACGGCTTTTGCATGTATTGGTGGTGACTGATTGAATGAATGCACTCATTGCAGGTTACAACAAGCGCAATGAATTTGTAGTGTGCACAGTACTGCATTTTCACAACGAGGTGATGTCGCACGTCGCTTCATGCAAAATGGCTGTCTGCATACAATCCATTCTGAATGTTCCAAGAATTTCCTATAGGTACAGATGCTGGAAAGGGTATACGGACACAACCCTTATCACAGCGACAATGAGCTCCAAGAAAAAGGGAAGATAAAAAAAGCATTGGCGTGGACAGAAGCGAATTCCAATGCTGCGCAGAAATACCCACCATCATTCAAGGTGCTACAGAGCGAAAGAGGGGGCGGTGTGAGTAAAAGCCATTTGGGAGAACGTCCAAATCCTGTCAACAACACATATGTAGACAGCCACACAGATTCGGTTTTCTGCTGCAAACAACGTGAATAGAGCCATAACTAGCTTCACACTACTCTAAGACAACGTCAACTCCAGACTCGAAAACACTCGTGCGACTCAAAGTTTCTTTCGCATGTATGATGCCCCCTGCGAGTCGCAGGCACATCCACGAGAGTTCACGCACCCAGGTGGCCAGGACCAGTGCCTCTCGCGGAGCGATTTCAAGAGTCAACCAGTTGATGGACGCATTGCAAGGAAACAGGTCTCGAAATTCCAGCCACAACGCTGCTTGGCACTTCAATCACAATTCTTCAAACGCAAGGAAATCGAGGTGCTATCGCCATCATTATCATTTTGCATCCCGTTTGAGCCGCTTGAACGGTTGCATCCTCGGGCCATCCATGCAGTCACCCACAAAGTCTGTCGTGCAGCCCCGCCGTGAACGCAGACGTAAATGACGCACCCGGTCATTGAAAGAACATCACTAACACCGCGCGAGCAGCCTTTGGGTGGAAGGGGACTTAAAGCTCGGATTACTCTCTTCGTTCCCCTTGTCCGGGTGGTTTAGTAGAGCACTGGGACACCACACCGGAGGTACCCTGTACGTCGGTTCAATCCCCGGCCAGACATCCTCTTCGCCATCCGCACTGAAACACAGCACCAAACGTGGTGGCCAGCTTCCCCCACTCTTCACCAGCTCGATCCCTGCTGCGTCCTTCCCCCGCCCCCTCCCGAAGTTCTCCTCCCGGGAGGTCTTGCCTGCCGCTGCGAAAGGCGAACGTCGTCCGACGTCCGCGCGAGCGGAGCGCGGACCCGCCGGTGAGGGGGACTCAGGGGCGCATGATCGGGTGAGGAAAATGGAGGTGGCGCGTTATGGGGGACAGGGCAATCTGGGGACCCCGTTGCCAGACGGGCGGGGCGTTGCCAGAGGATGGGGCGCTCTTCGCGAGAGCCCCCACGCGGCTGGCGCGCAGCGCGCTCTGAACGGGTTTTTGAAGGATGTGTGGGGTCCCAGAACAGGGAAGGTACCCCAAGGAGTGGGACTGACCTCTTGGGCAGCGAGAAAAGGGCTCGATTGCATTTGCCGCACGATGAAATACTGTCCTTGCACTTTGGAGGCAAGCGAAAGCGCGTTCGGTGGAGTTGTGAGTGATCCAAGGTGGATTGACAGGCGATGGCGTGGTTGCAACATTGTGTGCATTGACTGGACAGGAACCACAAGGGTTCAGATTCTTGATCCCTGGGGCCGCCCCCCGAGCCCTTCCTGGACCCATACCCAGGGACCCGCTCAGGCACAAGACAAATGCCATCCCAGTAAGCGCAGCGACTTCCCTGCTGCACTGCAATTTCACTGCAAGAGGAACACCAAAACTTTGGAAGCAAGTGTCGTGTGGCACATGTCACCTTTGTCGCCTTGATTCTGTTGGGCAGCCCTTTGTCATATCTTTGGCAGCTTTAATCAATTGTGGTTGGGTGGGCACGCACAGGTCTACATCATTGACATATTGAAGTGTTCTGCACTGGCATGTGCCCAACCGGGGCCATTGCCAAGCTTTAAAGGGCCCATCGCTCCTGCACCAGCATTCTTGCGCGTGAATCTGGCGCTTTGGCACAATCCGTTGACAGCAGAAATAGCAGTGGTGTTTGGGAGCCTGCCTGACAGATTGACTCTGGAGTTCAAATTGTACACTGCCAGCAGGTGCCTGCAGTTTTAATGGAGAGGTCAATAACTGCAACGGAAGGCAAGGTAGCTGATGCAGATTTTCATGAACCATTGTGAGATTCCCACACTTCTACTTCACAAAAAATAGACAATCCGGTGTTCAACTGCAATCTGGCTGTAGGGTGATGTAGGGCTATGCAGTCTATTTCCGTGTCTGCCTTGCTGTTCTGTGTGCATTGCACTTTGCTGTAAATTTCTTGTGTGAAGCTGTGAATATGTTGGGTCAGGATATGCCTTGCAGATACATAGTGGTTGTGCCAATTACAAATACATGTCATTGCAGGCAATAGTTCTCCCTGCCTCCTTTACTTGCACTATTCTTTTGGGTGAGATCTCCTGTGCACATCTAAAATATATGATGCAAACCTTGTGGAATATGCATTGTGGCAGCCCTGGGCGTTTTACACAAGAACTGTCACCAAACCATATAGACAACATGAACCATCTCAATGAAATACTATATTTACCATACAACTCTGTACAGAACAAATACTACATTGCAATAATACAATAGGTGGCGATGGCCCCAACTAAAGATTGGCATCCTGTGTTTGCATCTCAGCAGATTGGCCAATGGTAATCATTTATGCCTCGAATGTGCTACCATATTTCTCAAATACCCATTTCTGCAAATTGCCTTCATTGGTAGTTTGATCTTGCCAATTTTGTTTTACATAGACTGCAGCACAGGGTTGCTGTTTCATGCAGGCAGATGCAGAACATACTGAGCCAGGAGGCTCAAGTATTGAAGAAGATATTCCTGAGGCTACATTGGACATCACATCCAAGGTGCCTACTTTGGCATGGCCATGATGGGCACTCCCATATCATGGCAATTGCACAGCAATCTGCTATCAAGAAATAGGAAGCATACCCTGTTGCCCGCTTATGGAAGTGAAAAAGCTGCAAATGTGCATAGGAAAGGCACTGAAAATGAGATGGTAGTGAACAATGAACCTTCTAGATAAATTCTTTGGAATTGGCAAATGAAAGTTCAGTGCAATGCACTTGGCTGATTTCCTGGGCTATTATCAGTTTGCATGACTGAATGCAGTCTTTGTGAAAAACTCCACAAAACATGATCTGTCAAGTTAAGCTGCTGGATTATAAGGTAGTATCATGTTATGATATGTTTGACATGCTACTTTGCCAATGGTAATGACTGTGCTGCATGTTGCTTCTTATCTTAAAGTTTGTAATATAAAATATCATCCATATGCTGCTGTTTAACAAAGGCTGCAGTTGCCTAATTGTGTTGTAACAGATTGAATCATGAGGGAATAAAAGTGGAAATCAATGTATTGATTACAGCAATTAGAAAAACATAGGAGACTGTGTTGCCATTATGCCAACACTGTTCACAATGGCCTAGGAGATGTCTGGCCCATACTCTTTGTCGTTTGGTGTTGAGGGTTGGCACTGGTGATGTCACTGGTAATATCACTGGTGATTGTCACAGTGATAGTATTTTGTTGCATTGGCAAATTGCAAGAAACGTAGTGCAGTTGTCTGAAGGAGCATTGTACCTTCAGGGTGGACACACAGCATTGATAATTGCAGCAAGTGATGGCCATGAGGACATTGTTGAGTTTCTCACAGCAAAGGGGGCATCAGTTGACTGTCAAGATGAGGTGTGGTGCCATGACACTGTGATTATGGGGCTTATCCAACAATTATCAATAATGAATTCACAATGCTCTGGCACCTGGAAAGTGAAATCAGGCATCAGTCCTCACCCAGAATGTCTGGATTGTGGCTTTCATAGATGCCACAACCAATTCCCCTTCCTGTTGCCTGGGTTTTAGTCCCAGAATCCCCAATCATGCATCAAGGCATTCCACCATTCAGGAATGCATCAAGTATCTTCCCACTTGTTACTGCTTCAAAGGCATCTAGATAGGGGCTGCCACAATGGCAATGATTCCATCAATGAATGGCACAATGACTAAACAGAGATTGTGATGGCTGTGGGAAACCTCTCGTAACATGTGATAATAAATATCTCATGGGGCTGAAAACTGAGAATAGTACAGTATAATTCATTGTGTTGCAGCTTTTACAATTTCAACAGAATATTGGTCAATGTCTCTAGCACCACAAACGCCAATTATATCCACAATGTGCATTCCCCAAAGTGCTTGCACTAGCCTGTTGTGATTGTGAATGTGGGAGACAAGGGCATGACTGTAATAAAATTTCCATAGATTCCTTGAAGATCATGAATTTCTTCCCAAACAATTGAACTTAATGCTGGAATCTCTGATCTTCTTTATATGTATGTGGTTTATGATTTTGGTTGGCAAACCTTGTGGGGAAACCACACCAGATAATTTCATCAGAGTGATTGTCTTTGAATCTTGTTGCCTACCCAATGTCAAAGTGATTTTCCTGATTCTTCTCCAGCATCTTCCAAGTTAACACCCAACTACATTGTGTCTCCCATGAAGATGTATTGTTTGTGACAATAATAAAGCTGTGTATTGCAGTGGCAGACAACAGGTGCAATGAAGCAAGTGTGTCAATGTTTCAGGAGGCATGCAGGCATTCTGACTTCAAAGCAGATGGTTAAAATCAGTTTGCAACATTTTTATGTATGATACATTGTTGCCAGATGCTATCAGTCTGCAAGTTGTGGATTGGATGAAATTTCATGAGAACATCTGCTGCAGATGTTGTTGAATATTATCCCTGCATGTCTGCTAAGTGGGTGTTTATGATGGATCAGGGATAGCCTGCTGGTCAGTGCAGAATCTTGGAAAGTACGTATCTGCATTATGGAAGCTCTATTGTCGTGGCCCTGTTTTGGTCGTGGCCCTATCGTTGCCCTATAACTCAATTGGCCCTATTGGTGCTCGCACTGATCATATGCAGGGGGGGAAGGCACGCATAGTTTGGGAAACATTGCAGATACTCTGCTTTGTAGTTTGTGGTCATTAGTGACAATTCTGAAATTGCCTTACTTTCCACAGAGTTTCTTTGCAATAATAACTTGCCCACCATGCTGTGCCACACTGTCCAATTTCTGCATATTTGCATTCGTTGTCTAGTCACGCAATGCTACCCATGATCCTCTACGAAATCAAGCTTCCAGGTGATATGCTGTCATTCCCTTGTATGTGAAAATGCTTGTTGTAGGAAGGTTGGACAGCTTTGCATCATGCTGCATCCAAGGGTTTCATCAGCTCTGCCAAGGCCCTGATTGATGCTGGAGCCAATGTGGACATTCAGTCAAAGGTCTGAATGCTTCTGGGGCCCACTGTGTCCCTGCCGTGAAGGATGCACTTTTTGGAACCGGTTAAATTACCTGCTCTTGCCAAAACACCATGTGTGGTATTATTCTGGCATAAGATGCTTATATAGTCATTTGAGGAACAAGATGTTCACACAGCCTCTGCTGGGTGCTAGATGTCCTAATTGTCAACACATAAGAGCTTCGGGTCTTATCTGTCTGCACCCATTTCCTTGTGTTTAGAAACTATGTTATGGGTTTTTGCAGCCACAGTTCTGGACTGTTTACCATTGATGTTCAGCCTACATATCCCCTTCTTGCGTCTCTTGCTTGGTACCTGTTGTCAATATCTACTGTATTTACCCAGTATCAGTAGGCACCCCTTATTAGTATCCACCCCCCTCTTTGGGGGTCGAAACCATGTTAGTATGCATGACCTGGTATTAGTATCCACCCCCACACACAGACAGAAACGAGCGCAGGGGCTGATGGTGGTAAGGGAAGTCGGCGACTGGTGTTGGAGCGCATTACCAGACTGGACCAAACCAGGTTCCCTGCGATTTGCGCATCGACGGGGATGATTGGGCCGAGGTAGATGCTGTCGAGGAAGAATTTGGAAGGGGGCCTGCAAAAGGCGGCATTGTCAACTGCCCGCCACTGGCGCTCTCAGCGCAGGATCGCAGGGCAGTGACCCATGCCGCAGGGCCGAATCAAAGAAGCGGTCGAGAAATTAAAGCCGCCTTAGTTTCTGGATTCAGTCAACCTGCTCCCCAGCCGGCCAGAGCAGGTTCCAGCCTGGTGGCTGCCAAGGGAGCCCCAAGGCCCAGCGCCAGGAATGAGCAGGCGATGGTGCTGGTCATGGTGGCTGCTGTTGTGAGACACCGCAGCACAAAAACTGCATGCAAAGCACTGCGAAGGCTGGACCCATCCCCAATTCGCACATCCCATTGGCTACCAGGCCACAAACTCAATCACAGATCCCATCAGCTATCCCAGCTGCCATCAGCCTGGGAAAACGTTTTCCCAGTTTATGCCGCATGTCAAGCCCATCGTCGCGATGTGGCACCCCGGCGAGTCGAGACCCATGGCGGTCCTCGTTCTTTGCATTGCAGAGACAAGCGCGCCTCCAGCATTCCATCGGACCCCTGTTAGCCCCAATCACCAGTCGCCCCCACCTGGTGCAGCCCCAAGCCAAGGCCCCAGCTCCCATGAAGAGGCTGACAACATTCAGTAATAGCATTGTCATTTTTGCTCATTTCTGGGCATTTCACGGCCTGTTTGTCAAAAGTTTTCTTTGTCTACTCCTTGGGACCAGTGATACAAACCGTGTTAGTATACATGACCCACTGTTAGTGTCCACTGCTCATTTTCAGGGTCCAATACACGCCTACTAATACTGGCTAAATACGGTATCATGTGGTGTGCACACCTTGCCACCAGTGTGACCATAGCCACCTATTACCCCATCCATATGCCCAACCAACCCAACCTGGCCATCTCACACCTTCACAGCATTTTGCCCAGCTCTGGCTACTTTGGTTGTTGCCCACCCCTTGTACAGTGGGGTTCTAGCTTTGGACGCCAAACAATTCACTAATCAGGTGGATTGTTGGCAGCACAGCAGGTGGCATCATTGTAGTGCCACTGTCGCAGTGACATGCAAACCAGACAAAGGTTGGAGATGGTAGGAGACATGCCTGATGGAGTGTGGGAGGCAGATTTGACACTCTGTTAAGCTCACTTCTCAACTCTGAATTCAGCAATACCTGCATGTGCTTCTTACTAAAGGGTCATGAACTGGGGGCTTTGGAGCCAATGGCAGATCCGGAGATGCTTAGTGAATATTGAAGGATTCCAGCAGATGTGTAAACACCACCCTGAGCCACCCACATGCTAGCAGTGCAGTTCCTTGTGCAATGTGCAGCACCCGCCACTGTGGGGGTGGGGCAGGCAATAGTGTTCAGACCAAAGTTGCTCTGATGACCTGAGAATTGGGCCAAAAAACATCACAAGAACCATGTCTCTTTTTTTCAACCAGGCTGTGAATGCTCTCAAACACCCTGTAAAATACTAGGCAATTGCTGTTTCTTTGATGGAGTCATGACTCCAGGCCCAAAACAGCTGGTTTCCTCACTGAGGGAAACTTGTGACTTAATACTCAACAGATCATGAGGGAGGTGTGTGCCTATTCGCCTTTGTACCACGGTGACACATGCCAAACTTGCAATGCCCGTTCAAAATAATGTTTTCAATTCAGACTAAGCGGGGATCTAGAATGCAGCTCGAGGGCAGCACTTTTGCATATGCGTTTGGAATGAGTGAGTGCAGAGCAATAAGCTGAGGCAGATGCCCAGGACTATGTAGACAACCAATGGATTGAAAAACATGGCTGTGTGACAGGCCATTGCGCGAGGTGCACAGAACCCCTTGATGAAAATGAAGCTCAAAATCTTGGCTGTCCCCATTAGTGAGACAAGTTTTTGACAATATGGGGAATCTATGACTGTGCAAATCACAGATTCTCCTTGTTGAAACAACCAAGGGAAATGATTGAATGTCTGCACCCTTTTGGCAGCTCAACATGGAAAGAGGTGATGTTGAAAAATGCTTGTCTGGTGGTATGGAGGATGCATGCATGCAATGTGGATTACGGCAATGCGGGTGCAATGTTTCTGCTGCTAAACTGCCCATCAAGCTTCTCTTCTGACAAAGATCAAGCAAGCACACACCATTGCTGGGCTGGGCACTGCCCTACAGTTGCAGTTCACTTCCTTACCAGGCATGAAAATGCCATGTGTAAGGTTTTATGTTGGGACATAGGACACACAACATTGATTGGGGTGGCAAGCTTTGCATCTGCTCCAAGGAACTGTGCACGGCAGCACAATTTAAAGCTTTGGCACATTAGGTCCACATCATGATCCTGGCCCTGGTGCATTGTGGTGACAAAGTTGTTTTGTTCTCTAGTGGAGAAGGAATGATTGGGGGCACTGTGCCAGCAGTTCGTTACCATACAGGTCATGCCAAGCATGCTATAGAATGTGTAGAGGCACTTATATTTTGATTTCGGGCTGCTCTTTAGGGTTTGGGCATTTGGTGCTTCCAAGCACCAAATCTGCTTCATCAATTGATCTCTTGTTTGAAACCTTCTTCAAGCATTGCAGTTGCTCTGGCACAAAGGAAGCATATTTGCCTTTTCTTGTAGCATGGTAAATCATTGCTACTTTGGAAATTTAACATTGCTTTTAAAGGAGTTGATTCCTCTGCATCTTGCCCACTGAGCATTAAATGCTCTGTGAGAGTTAAACTTGAACTATTTTCTCTTGTCTTGTGCCTGACATTGCTGCAAGAGCAGCAGAACAGGCTGCGAATTGTCAAGGACTAGCTGAATATGTCATTGTTGGGAGAAGAATGAGGATGCAGTGGTCCGTGTCCATTACACAGGGGTATTGATGCACTGGGCTTTTCGAGGGATGCAAGGCGTTCCTATTCATCACATGGCAAGACCATCACAACATATCATGTCCCATTTTCCCCTTTGTGGAGTATGCAAGGGCTACCACTCCCTATGTACCAATGGGGCTCACTTCCATAAATACAAGGCCAGGAAAAACAAATGCAATCCAGAAGATGGTCATTTTCTGTTCAAGCAGCCATTGGTTGCCCTATTGCCGCCCACATCACATGAGGTTGTTGAGATGTGGTAAAAGGCCCCCATAGGATCTGCATGGTGGCTTCACAAGAAGGACAACTGCTTTTACAGTCACTAGCAGCAGTGGATCCAATGAAGCTGAGTTCTAGCATTCGTATGCAAATGTAATCTTGCATCATGCAATGGTTATTTGCCATGGAAAGCCGACCTTCTTGTTGGCCCTGTGTCCTACTGTGTGCATGTTGTCCATTGCTGAGTTGGGCCACGAGTCAGCCATGTTCTCCATGATGCAAGCATGGCCTGGATGGGCTGGGGATGCAACCAAACAGGCTGAGCCATTCAGTACTTGAATGCTGTTTTGAACCAATTCTCTTCTCAATGGTTCACTGGAAGAGTCATTTGTTATGCAACGGCATGGAAGGTGAAATGTTGCATTGCCATGTTGAAAGGGTTGCCATAGTAACTACACCCTTCCTGTGCCATTTGACAATTCATGGATACCATGTTTGGCAAACTGCGTGCAAATACCATGCCAAACAGAGAGTGAACAAGTCTTGAACAATTTTGCAATTTCAGCTTCAACATTTCTGATAAGTGGACCTGATTCTGCGATCTTTGTTCTTGCATGCTACCATCTACATTGAGTGGAAAAGAGACCCATTAAAACAGAAGGTGGCAGTAGGTTCACTGGTCAGCAGCAACATTTCTGCTCTCTGTTCTACTGTGTGATTCTAGCTTGAGTGTATTTTCTTGCTTGTAACTGGCTCTGCTGCCACAGGAAGGCAGAACCCCGCTGTGGCTTGCAGGTGGGGAGGGCTGCCTGTCCATTGCAAAGATTTTGCTGGAAAAGGGAGCACAGGTCAACTGTGAAGACCAGGCAAGTTGCCCCCAAATTGAATCCTTGTAATGTCAGGATACCAGAAATTTTGCATCAGGCTGCGCTCGTCATCATTTACAAATGTCTGTAAAAATTCAACACCTTTTCAGAAAAGTTTGGTGCATATTCATAGTATTGAGTACTGATCTTTGATCCACTTTTAAAGATGGTGTCATTTTCCGATGGACATTAGTGAAGCAGGATGGGGACATTGTATTTAGAATGGGCAAGTGTTCTGTGTGCTGCTTCAAGGGATAGGTAACAGACAAGTGTTTTGCCAGCTATATTGCTAAAGTAGTGCTGGGCCTGCCACACTTACCACAGGAGCAATTGTGCCATGCATACCGATGACATACAGAGTCAAGCTCTCCACTCAGGATTCCTTGCGCAATGTCACCAATAAGTAGCTTGTTTCAGTATGTTGTGGGTGTGCCTGCTGCTGTGATTGCACCATTGTTTTGAAGCAATGCACTACATTCACCACAATGTCACTCTTGCATTGGGTATGCATCTTTTAGAATATAATGCTTCTCCAAAAAAATGTGCGAAGAGTCTTGGACTACGGTTGTGATACCTAGACCATGTTCTGCTGTAGGTATGTAGTTATGGTTGAATATTTTGGAGGGTGTGGAGATGCGTTGTGGAGGCCCTTCTCATTGTGCTTCTAACTATGCCATGCAGGATGGCTGGACACCATTGATGCACTGCACATGGAAAATGCATATTTCCATTTTGGATTGCATGCTGCGGCAATGCAAAGATGTCGACCACAGGAACAAAGTGAGGGAACATCTTCTGTGGTGCTTCTCAATGATATCCATGGTGGAACTTGCTATTGTAGCAAAGTGATAAACTGCCAATACAAAGTTAGTAACATGAAATAATGTTCCAGGCAATTAAGGTACATTTCCCATGGAAAGAAGCTGCAGGCCAATTGTCTTGCTGTTTGTGCTTCCAATATACTGACCCAGCAGCACTGGTGCCTGGATGGTGTTGGCCGCTTGATACAATCTGGAATGCTTTTCTCAATTTCAGTGTTTTGCACTTGTACTGGCCACTCTAGTGGTGCACCATGGCTTCAGGAAAATGCCAAGCATCATACAACTTGGCTAGGTTTCACCATCAACACAGTGCAAATGCCTGATTTTAGTGAGTTTTAGATGGTTCAAGCACCGTTAGAAACTCTGTGAAATGAACTTCTCTGATAGTGTCGCCCCCCTTCTGAGCAACATTGCAGCCAAACATATCACTGTTGTGGAAAGCGTCACTGCCAGAAAAAGGGAGCAACTGGCCAGTGCTGTAAGCACTTTACAGCTCAAATCAATTTTGCTGATAGTTGCTCATACACATTCCCCCTAATGCTCAGCTTGCACTGTGACTTGCGTTGTTTCTGCGTTGTTGTTTTTTTGGAGTTTTGTGTTTAGTGCCCATGAGCATTGTTGCACCAGCTCAACTTTCCATGGAGTAGATGAATGCTTGTTTGTTCTAACAAGTCACTGTTAGTCAATTGGGTGTTCGGGGGATGTATTGAAGAAACACTTTGCTGTGCGTTGGTATTGCCTTGTTAGGAGGGTTTCACATGCTTACATGCAGCAGCCCAAAGGGGTGATGCACAAGCTACTCGCCTTCTCCTTGAACATGGTGCTGATGTGAATGCCACAAGCAAGGTAAAGAGCTTCTTTTGAACTCGCTTGGGGAAAATAGATGCAGGGTTAAATATGCCAAGTGTTGAGCCTTGTAACGACAGACATGGACAGGCTGTTCAGCAATAATGTTGTGGTTGTTCCTTTTGGTTACACAAACTTGCTCAATTTCTTGAGCCTGGGACATTTCCTACTACATGCAAATGAGGTGAGATACACCTGAAACGTGGTTTTGCGACTAAAAAGACTATGCCGTTTAGTTTGCTTAGATCAGTGTTCTATTCAATGTATGTCAGCCTTAGTTACCTGTGCTTTGTAAATGAATAAGTTGCCACTGTGACCATACACTGTCAGTTGGATTAATCTTGTTGAATGGCCAATTGCGATTGTATCCTTATTGTGTTTGCTTCTTAGGCAAGGGGGGGTTTCCTCAGGGAGGGTTGGCGATTTCTGCCATCGTCGATGCCGTGACAATGGGTTTATTCAATGGGGATCCAGACATAGTTGAACTTGTTTGGCAAGCGCAGTACCCCATGAGGAACACTGCCCTTCACCACAATTGCAACAACAGCTTTGGTTTGGCATGCCTGGGACAGGAGCAACCCAGAACTGCACGGATCTCCAGTGGGTGCTGAATCAGAATGCATAGTTTTCAGCCAAATCTTATGCAACTTCAAGGGGCATCAGAGTTACTGGGAATGAGCGCTTTTTCATAAAAAATGGTAGTCAAGGTTCTCGTGACCCAATCTTTTCGATCCTGAACTTTACAAGTACTTTGGAAGCTGTTTAGATAATTAAATCTATTTTTCAAATAGAGGACAAATAATCTTGGACGGAGGAAGTGTTTAATGACCTAGATAGGTATCTGTGAGTTTTGAATATCGCTGCTAGGTGAATATCACTAACATCATTGCAGGCAAGCACCAATGTGTTGTTGTTGAGATGTTGGTGTGTTTGCACAGAATGGAACTACAGCTATAGCAATGGCAGCAACCCATGCACATTTGGAGGTGGCTAGAGAGTTGCTTGACAGAGGGGCCAATTTGGAGCTTACACTGCAAGTATGGAGTGATACATCAATTAAGCATGCCTTGGGTAGTGTCAATTGGATCCTGCATACTTACAGCCTTTGCCAGGGCATTTACAAACTCAATGCATATTTATCTCAGCTCTGTATCCTGAAAACAATAAACCCTATACCCTAAGGCTCAAAAGGGAAGTCTCTGATAGGAAGAAAAAGCTACAAGAACACTACTACAGGACATTAGGACATAACCTGTGAACGCATTTGAGACTGAGCCATGCAGTTAGAGAACCTGGGAGAAGGACACGTATGCAAGAAGTTGCTAAACACATTTTCTTTTCTGGATTTGATGAGGATTCTGCTGGACAGATATGTTGGTTGTCTGAATTCTTTTCGGCCATATGCCCCATGTGGCTTTTCTTTTATGTGTTTGCCTCAGCTATATGCAGAAATTGGACATCAGCAGGTTTCCACAGCTTTGGTATCTTGGCAATTATTATCATCTTGACATTTTGATGTTGCGATTCCTAACAATGGTATAGATTAAACTAGAACAATTAAATGGGTATAGGAGCTGCCACACAGGGCATATTGGCATTCTTGCCAAGAATGATATCTGTTAAGTTGAGGACACTTTTTGCACATTACTGACAGATAGTTCATGTCATATGTGCAGTAATTACATGCTATAAGTATTCATTTATAGGAACCCCAAGACCAACGAAACGAAGCAATGGATACCAACACTGGGTACTAAAACTGGGTGCTAACGCTGGGTACTAACATAGTCTGCAGTGTTGATACAAGCTTTGGACTGAGAAACTGTGAAAATCGATGCCAGAAATTTAAAAAATGGGTTAGAAATAGGGAAAATGCATTATGGAAACCGAAAATGCCAGCCTTCGCAACCGCTTCCAGAGGGACAGCAATGATTATTGCAAATAATCTCTGTCAAGCACTTCTGTCGTTGTCAATTCACAACTCGCATACCATTGCTAAAATGAAATGAGCCCCTGATGCAAGTTATCATGTCCCACCCCCTCTCCATCCTGGAGAAGCCCACCCGTTCTTTGGCAATTTCGGTTCAATTTTTCATCTGCACATGACCAGTATCATCTCCCCTCAAGCACTTTCAACCAAGCTATGCCGCTCAAGTTGAGCATTACAGTCTGGTTGGAAGTGATGTTAAATTGTTGAGCAGCTCTGTTAAGTTGTTAACAACTTCACAGCTGGCTGGTAGCATGCATGCAGCAGTGTGAATGTGTAGAATCAGGAGCGGGATGTATGGATCAGAAACTAACATCAGAAGCTGGTTGAAGTAATGTAATGTAAGTATGTGTCATCAGTTTTCCGACATTCCCATTACAGGCTTGCCTACAGTGTAGGGAGTGAAATCCAAGGCTGGAGCAGTCCCTGTATTGTACCAATGGTGGGTACAGCAAAACCCGTCTCTCATTCCCTTCAACCATTGCATCTCATCCCGTGTTGTGAGGAAGTATCATCAATATTTCCATGCTATCTCTCAGGATGGATGGTCGCCTTTGATGTTGGCATGCCAAGGTGGGCATATGGAGATTATGGGTGCATTTCTGGAAGCTGGTGCAGATGTTAATCATCAAGCTGAGGTGTGCACCACTGCAGTTGCCCTGAATTTGAAACAGCTGCATTATTGAATTGGAACGTGAGTGTGAATAGTTTTCTGAAGAGAAGTTTTTTGAGTGCTTGAAGTTGTATAGCACAGTCAGCAGAGAATCTGATGTGGTGAAAGCTTATCTGTTTGTGCTCTTGGTTGCCTGCCTGTCTGATCCAGCTATATGCTGTGGGCCTTCGCCAGTGGGGGAAATCTACTCTGGCAACATCTGATTTCTATTGATGTGATACAGACAGGTTGGACTGCGCTTCACAAGTCAGCATGGGATGGTCGTGTGAGACTTGTTGAGCGCCTGGTGGACGCTGGTGCCAAAATCAATGCACAGGAACAGGTGAAATGTGTTGGAAGTATCATCCTGGCAATCAGCTTTTGATGCAATGGAATTTGAATGGCTGATGAAGGAGATATCGTATCTGTGACTGAAGATCAAGTTTCAACTGCATTTAGGGCTTTAATTGCATGCATTGTTCAGTATCTTCCCTTGTCTTTAGTGCCAAAGCATATGAGAATATTCCGGAAAGGATGGTTGTGTTGTTATTGTGTCTTTGAGCGACAACCTTCAAATGACATGCTGATTTGGCATAGAATTTGCTGTAACAATCAATGGGGTCAAATTCTGGAAGAATCGAAATTGCAACACTCTATGTGGTGTGTTCTTTGTCGACCAAATTAGCTCAGGCTGGATATTTCTGGTTTATCCTGCAGGATGAGGACACACCGCTATTGATGGCAGCATCTCAGGGTCACCTAGATGTTGTGAGGTATCTTTCTGAAAAAGGAGCTGACACAAACACACCAAGGAAGGTATTGGCAGCAGCATTGATATTCATAGGCACCTGCAATTTTATGTTTAAGTCTGAGACCCTTTTGTGATGGTGATTAAGAAAATATTTGGTTGTCAAGTGGTATCCATGTGTTTGGCTAATGTTTGTCCTTTCAAGTTGATGCCGGGCTACATACTTGAATACTCTATATTTTACAACCTGTGGCAAGCCGAAAACTGAAACTTTTGTCATTCCATATGGAAATTCGCCACCTCATTTTGCTGCTCCCACCTGTGCCGTGTGTCCTCCAGGATGGATGGTCGCCACTCATGATTGCATGCCAGAATGACCATCTGTCCATAGTTGAGTTCCTGCTGGAGGCAGGTGTGGATGTGAACCACAAGAGTAAGGTAATGGTGTACAAACGTCGCTCCAATGCTGATTTGCAATTAAGTAGTTTGCTTTCTTGTGTCCTGTGTTGTTTCAGATGTCTCCATGTCTGTGCAACTATTGACTTTGTGTAGAGCATATGATTTCTGTCATTGGACAACACTGCATCTATCCAATCAGTGGTAGATTTTGTACACCCGCTATCCCAAACGACAAGCATGAACTTTAGCTTAGAAATTCGCTGATTTGACCGAGATGCCTTAGAAGCATCTTCAACTTGTCTAAAAGTTGCTAAGCACTGCCAGTAGAGCAAGTGCTTTTCAAGTAATTTGGCGTCAATTGGTTGAATAATGACCAAGGGTGTTGGGTTCGCTTGGGCGTTGATCACATCTCAGGACATGAATGACACCTGAATTTCAAGTGCTGTTGTTTGGGTTCCTACTTTGGTCGTTGACATGACTTATGGAAATATGTGTGATCATTTATATAAATGCCCTCCGGCCATCTACTACCGAGCAAAGGGTGTGTGAAGAATTGCTGGTCTTGGCAGGTGCCAGTCGCCCGCACATGCAGGGAGATGGCAATAATTGCTGCTATATATGATGCCAGCCATCTGCAAATGCCAAGAATATTTGTAAATCATGTCCTCCAGAAAATTTCACATATCTTTGCGAGCGAGCGAAGCGAGCGGAGCTTTATAGAGCAAAATCGCGGTTTTGGCCGACCGCGCCGCCGGCCGCGCGCCGCGCACGCACCGCCCCCTCCCTAAGCTTCCTGGCGCTGCGCGCCGTGCGCGGGAGGCGCGCTGCGCGGACGCCGATCGGCCACTCGCACCCTCCCCGACTCCCTTGCGCCTCGCGCGGGGCGCTGCGTGCGCGCCAACCGCCCACTCCACCCTCCCCGACTTCCTTGCGCCTTGCGCGGCGTGCGCCATGCGCGCCGACCGGCCACTCACACCCTCCCCGACTTCCTTGTGCCTCCCGCGGCGCGCGTGCGGTGTGGCGGGCGGCATGGGCGCCGACCGCCCACTCAAACCCATCCCCGGGCTCCCTCCACCGGCGCGCAGTGCGCGGGCGCGGCACAGCGTGGACGGCACCCCGCCTCCCGCCGGCTTCCCCCGGGTTCCCTCGGCCGGCACATGCGGCCTGCTGGTGTGGGCTTAGGCATGACTAAGGCGGGGGCGGGGGGGGGGACCGGGACACCTCTTGTGCCACGCGCCGTGCGTGCGTGGTCACTTTTTCGCGTTACGCGCGCAAGCATTATGCGGCTTCCGTAACGCCCATGGTGGGCCTCTCAGCTGCTATGTGGTCCTGTACCAGCGCGCGGGGCACGGGTGGCGCACGCCGCGGGCGCCGGCCGTGCGCACGCCGCCCATCCACGGGCTTCCTTGACCTGTGCGCATGCGGCGCAGCGCGCGGTACGGCTGCCCACCGGCTGCTCACGTCCCATCCCCCCCGCTTGCTTGCCCGGCGTCCGGCGCGCGGCATGGCTCCGATCGCACACTCGCAGTCCAACCCCGGGATCCCTGCACTGGCGCACGGTGCGCGGGCGCCGCGCGGCGTGGGCGGCACCCCGCCTCCTGCCGGCTTCCCCCGGGTTTCCTCGGCCGGCGCACGCGGCTGGCTGGCCTGGGCTTAGGCATGACTAAGGACGGGAGGGGGGGTCCGGGACACCTCTGGTGCCACGCGCCGTGCGTGCGTGGTCACTTTTTCACGTCACGCGCGCCACCGTTACGCGCCTGCCGTAACGCCCATGGTGGGCCTCCCAAGTCCTGCACTGGCGTGCGGCGCACGGGTGGCGCCCGCGCGAACGCCGGCCGTGCACATGCCGTCCATCCCCGGACTTCCTTGACCGGCACATAGGGCACGTGCGGCGCAGCGCGGCATGGCTGCCGACCGGCCACTCATGCCCATTCCCTCCAGCTTCCTTGACCGGCACCCGGCGCACGGCATGGCCGCCGACCGCCCACTCACAGACAATCCCCCCCGGGCTTTCTTGACCGGGGCGCGGTGGCCGTGAACCAGGCGGCACTTGGCCGAGTGGTTGGCGGTGGCGACTGCCATCGCCCACGGTCATGGCTCGAGTCGCGTCTAGGAGGGCGATGGGTGAGGGATGTAAGGGTTGGGTGGGCAGCAAATGCAAAAAAACTTGTTCGAGGCGATTGACGCAATTGGTCGCTCGAAGCGATGTTCACTTCGAGCAACCTGGGTGGCCAGTTTGAGGTGCCTCTTGGCGCCTCTTGGTCATAGACTAGAACGAATGGCGGTTTTAGAGGGATGGGGCGGGTTGGTGCACGTTCATACTTGAAAATTCCGTCCGCGGCGATTGACCCATGGATCAATCGCCGTGGTCTTTCACCTCAAAGAGGCTTGGCGGCCTCGCTGCAGCGCTTTGAGGTGCTTCCTTGGCCGCCGATTGGAGGCGAGTGGGGTTTGGGGGGAGGGAGGGTTAAGTTTGAAAATTGTGTTTGTGGCGATTGACCAGACGGGTCGATTGCCTTTCACTTGAGAAAGGTGTGCTAACGTCCAAGGCGGGCGCCTTGGAACGCATTTTGGCACTCACTCTCGTTCGGAAGAAAGTGGTTGTGGGTGGGTGGTTTAGGATGAGCATGTGAGGCATGCCAGGTTTTGCAAGTCTCCTGCAGTTTGGCAAATGGATTGCAGCTGAAGTGTGTTTACATGTGCACCACTCGAGCGAGCATGGTTGCGCGAGCTATGTGTATTTTTTGAAAATGTGTGGATGCTTGGCACTGATGTTTGTGCTCTGCTAGACACCATGAGGCTGGAGGCACCAGCACTCTTTCTTCCAACTATACTGCAAATTAAGATGGTTGTGCAGTCGTTGGCATTTGGTGATGCTTCCAAAGCCAAAAGTTGGGATTATGGCACCCTTGCAGGGAAAAGGAGGCCATGCAACTATGTGATCAAATCTTACCCTATTCTCTCTGTGGATTGTGTTGGTTGCAGGTCTGTTTGGTTTGTTGATTGCAATTCCAATGTTGTCTGTTGGCCCATGAAACATATGAAGACCGTAGTTCTGTTACTAACTAGTCTCATTGAATTTGGGAACAAAGAATGCTTGCTTGCTATGGTGCAGAGTGGTTGGTCAGCTCTGCATAAGGCTTCATGGGATGGGCGGTTACGATATGTGAGATGCTTTGTGGAAGCTGGAAGCCTGGTAGATAGCGAAACTGAGGTGACACGCACTCACAACAAGAGCCCCCTTGCTCACGAGTTTGAAATTTGGCATAAATGGAGGACCAAAGTGAATTGGCATTCCTTGCACTCCATGTTGGACAGCGTCAATTCAAGCCTTGAGTCATATGGTTGATATCAGTTTTTACCACAGAATGACAGTGTGGATTGGAAGACTGGGCTTCGAAATTTACTAGCTTCACCTGCCGCCATGCTGATGTTACTATAGCAGAAACATTATCTAAATGCCATAGTCTGTAGCCTTGGTATGATAGCACTTGTGCAACAGCACGATTCGTAGGGTACAGGAAATCCTGGCAACATGTAGCTGCAGTGCATGACCACAGCCAGGTTATCACCTATCCTCTCTCATGGTACCATATGTACTTCTCACTCCCATCTTGTTGCAGTTTTCGCAAATCGGCGGGCTGGAGCTGGCTGACAACATGGCTTTGTTGCATTGATTCACTGTGGTAGTGGCAATTCCCCCGTTTCCAACAACTACAAAATCTGGTGCTGTCCACAGTTGCACAATGAACAAAGGGCAGAGTGTTGTGCTTCTAGTGCCTGCATTCCCTTTGATGTATGTTTTGTTTCATATTCCAACAGGATGGCAGCACGCCATTGACTTTATCAGCAGAGAAAGGTTGGCTTGAAATTGTCGAATATCTGGTTCACAATGGTGCGGATGTCAACCACAAAAGGAAGGTAAATGTGCTAATTTGCATCGAAACATTGCTGAGGATCGGTAATATGTTTTAAATCTCGTTGCCATTGAGCACAGTAACATACTTGAGTTTTGGTGTTGCAATATAATACATAGGTACTGCACTCTGCGCTATCAAATAATGCCTGCCATACCATAACTTGTACACTGACTTGATGAACCATTTGCTGCAATTTTACTTGTGCTTAAAAGAAGACACTATCTTAATTGCAGTGCACTTGGCACTTGTCAGATGTAAGCTCACCTACACCCCCATGCAGTGCTTAAGAACAATTCACAGTTACTTGTGGCATTGCAGCAAAATACTTGTGCCACTGCATTCGATCATCAATACATTGGCAATGACATGTGTTGTCTCCAGCACTTCATTCGTCCTCACATCCTTAGCTCCATTATTCTCTCTGTTGCAGCCGATTGGTGAGCATGTGGAAAGCGTTGATTGCCAATTGGGGGGGATGCAGGACACAGATCGCTGTCAACGATTCATGCTACCCTGTTGCTGCTTGTACGCCCCAAACTTGTGGTTCCTTGCATTGCAAACAGATTGAACTTCATGTTTACTGCCACATGTGTGGGATTGCACCTCAGCAATAGCAAACACAAAGGTTGCCTTTGCCATGTCGCCACAACTCAATACATGAGAATACAAGTGCCTAGAATCTTTCTGCACAACTCAGCAGCCCTTCTGTGCCCTCCTGGTTGTTTAGATTTTGGTGCAACTATGCAATATTTTCACGTACACATCTGGATCCCTGCACGTGTTCCTACAGACCCCTGGCATCTGCTGAGAGCCACATGTGCGAAAATCAAATATACCTTCCACATAGTGTGTCGCATCCTGAAACCATATGTCAATGCCACTCTATGCAGTTGAATGGGGCCTATCATGCGATGCTAGTCTGGCTTCTGGACCGCACCATTGATACATGTGATGGATGTCTTTTTCTGTGTGAAAATGCATATGGTCCATGAGCACACGATTTGTACAAATGCTGAGAATTGCGTTTTCTCACGGTACCATGCTGACTGCGCATCTGTAGGGTGGATGGACAGCGTTGCAGTATGCATCAAATGAAAGTCATGAAGGCATTGCCACATTTCTGATTGAATCCGGGGCAGAAGTGGATCATCAGAATGATGTGAGACTCATGCCATCCAGTTGTGGGTCTTGCCCTGTAGCAGATGGATGTTTGTCTGTAGTTAGCACATATGTTAGAGCATTTGCTTGCATTTCATTATCATTTTATGATGTGCACTGTGAGTGGCGATGTACTGGTGAATGCAAACATGGGATACATGGAATAGAGTAATACTCTGATTCACTCTGCTATCGTCACATTGCATGCTTTGGGAGGTGGGTGGTGCTGTCTCAATCAAAAGTGTACAGCGCTCAACATGGAGTTGTGTTCAGATGCCTTGTACATGTGCACTGTGCATGTGCACAAATATCAAGTGTATTTCTCATAGTACAGACCACAAAAGCCAAAATTGTTTTGCGCCATATTCATGACAGGCAACTGTAGACCACGCATTGATGTTGCCTGATGCTGACTTTGTCCAGTGACATCTTTGTTGTGTACAGTGCAGGGCTCACTTGATGTCATTTGAACATGTTCTTGTTGGCATAGTCCTTTGCGAAAACTAGTAGCCAAAACTTGTCATCTCTGTACAGGATGGCTGGTCTGCACTGCTCATGGCATCATCAGCAGACGCATGGGGCATTGTGAATTGCCTATTAGAGAACATGGCGGATGTCAGCCATGCGAACAATGGAGGGTGGACTCCACTGATGTCCGTCAGTGACAAGGGCAAGCTATCTGTTGTGCAGACCTATCTGGAGAGGGGAGCACCTGTGAATGCTGTTGACAAGGTTTGCAACTGCTGCACAGTTGTCAGCACGTTGGTGTTTGACTGCATAGTGGGTAGTGGTGCGGGATCTGTGACACAGAAGTGATTTTGTAGTGCTGCCTGCCAAACTGACGCCAGGTTCCCCAAAAACTTTTGTCCTTGTCTCCATACCACATCGTTACCCTCGTCTTGATGGATACGGTCAGAAGCCTGATGTTTGCAGCTCGTCATCGATAAGCTTGCCTGGTGCATGGACGTAAAAACAGATCAACAGATGTCACCAGTCGATACTGCGCCTTGGATGCGAATTGCAACGATTGCATTGACTGTGGACGTCCTGGAATACGAGTTTGGTCCATTCATTGTTGGATGCCAGGTGCAATTTAAGACGTCGGAAGCATGTTTTCCACACAAGCCGTACATGGCTCTTCTTGCAGTTGTGATGCAGAAATGGAGCGGTGAACTGACCAAGCATGCTGCTGTCTGCGTTTCTAAGTAATGAGACATAAAGCAATTATGTGAACGAACATATAAGGAACGTATGCCATTTGTATGTGCCTTTTACATGGACAATAATTCTTTCCATAAAGAACGTCGAAAATGCCCGCCAGTCACGTACCATGATCAGCAATTAGGGCATACGGCAGGGCTTGGTGCGAGCTAGTTGTCATCTTTTGAGATATGATTGTTGGCCAGAATTCAATGGCGATCTTAACAACCGATGCCCAGGAATACCTTAAATTGCTCTCTTGTAACAATGCCGCTATCCCTGCAGTTTCCATTTGCACCCCGTGTGGAAATGAAGCGAAAGAAGGGAATTCAAAACTTAGAATCATACACATCTGTAGAATACAATCATATTTTGGACGTGTTGCGTGCTGTGACCAGGAGGGATTTGCTGCTCTGCACTTTGCAGCCTTGCGAGGCTATTCGGAGGTGGCACAACTGCTCATTGAGCACAATGCAACTGCTGACTTGGGAACCAGGGTGAGCACCACTCAGACAACCAATATGGGGACGTACGACAAAGTTGAAGCGACACATTGGTGGACTGCTGGCTTCAGCCAATATGCTCGGATGTGTTCTGATGTGTCGAAGCGTACACCTAACATGCTCTCTCATGACCAGTTTCAATGAACCAATTCAAACACATCAGCATTGCCCTAATTCAGTGTTTTTGGCACTGCACAATGGCACATAAGATACAGAAGAAGTCATAATGTAATGTAGCAGCAGTGTGAAAGCGTTTGAAACCATATTTATTCTCATGCTCGCCGACCTTGACCCCATTGTTGCAACATAAATACAATGCAGTACAGGTATACTACATTTGTGAATTTGGGGTTTTAGGGCAATCCGCGTCTCCCTTTGAATGGCTTTAGCTTTCCTTGGTTTTGCCAACCCGCGAGGGTGGGCTGGGTACCATTCAACTCTTGAATACATTGATGGGCATCAGCTTAGCGAAAGCTTACGTCAGGCAGCAAATTGGGTCGTTGAGTCAAAAAGAATCGAACGAATCCACCAAAAATTCCTAAATAATGTATTTTTTCCAAAAATGTATTGTAATTTCTCCATGATCTGGTTGTGCAAAATCTTCAGCCTTTGGCGTGGCCAATGTGAAATGAGTCTTAGCCACAGTTGGTCGTTGTGCCTTTGCCCAAGGACACCTTATTTTGCACGCTGCTGGAGAACTCGGCTTGATGGCCATTCTTGCGGTGTAGAATATCCAAACGGTCCACTTGTAGTGCAGCAAGGATTCAAATTGACTCCTGATGCAACCAGTGATTGATGGTTTGACTTTGTTACTATTCAAGACAACTACAGAAATCAGCTTTTGAGCACTATGGGTCTGTGTATCCATGGAGGCTTTCGAATGCCAAGCAACAGCAGCCCAATGAGACTAAACTAAGAGATGGCAGAAAAAACCATCCAAAACATCAAAGTTGGTTTGAAACTTCACTTGCTGACTAGTGCACGTCTGTTTCGAATCCTGTGTGCTGGATTTGGAGGAGATGCTCAAGGCAAGAACACACTTTGAGGTATTCCCCCCATGAGCAGCGCACTGCAGTATCTGTGCAACGTACTTACTATAATATGGTGTGTTACGTTTGAAATATTGTTCAACGGCCACGCTGTGCACCATTAAGCATGTGCAGTGCCAGATTGCAGGAAGGAACTGGTATTCTGCATCCACAATACCTCAGAAAGAGGCACACGTTCACTGCCTTCCTCTGTCAATGAATGCGTCTGATTTTGATGTCCATCGTTGTCTTTTGATGGCGGACTGTTTCTCGCTTGTTTTGTCCAGGTCGGCTACACTCCATTGCAGTGCGCGGGTCAGAGGGGCGACGCCAACCTCGTGCAGTTTCTTGTTGACCATGGTGCAGCAGTTAACCATGTGTCTGATGTAAGGCAAAGAAGCACAGATCCTCTTCTGCAGCTCATGGGACACAAAACATGTCTATCCTCACTTGTTCGAAACCTGTGCAGGCCAGGTCAGGCCCTTCCACGTGTGTATCCATTCTGTGTGGCCTATCATTTGGATCGAATTACATTGTCTTAGCAAGAGTGCTAAAGCAAGCTCAGAAGTGTAAAACTCAAGTTTCTGCCATCAGTTCAGGGCATTGCGCCCCCTTTGCTTGACATCAGCTCATACTGGGACTGCAGCATGGGGGACAATTTCGTTCTATGGTAGGCTAGGGTGATAGGCGTGTGCTGGTAATGTCTTGAAGTGAGGGCATGTTGTGAGCATGAGTTAGGAATTTCATCCCAGGAATTGTCTCATCTACACACCATGAAAACAAATGCCATTCAGGCTATGTCGTCTGGAAGATTGCAATGTATGTGTCCCAATGCTTTTGATGGTGGGTTACTAGCGCATGAATAGCATGCTGGGCAAATTTGCCACTCTGTTGATAAATCACTCCGTCAACAGCTTGCTCCAAATAGCAACATCATCGCTTAACACATGACTCATGTGACATGAGGGGTGTGGGTGCTCTTACAAATGTCCCTTGTGGCGATAAGACGTTATTTCAGTATTGCCACAGAAGAACCACAATTCGAAACTTCAGCACTAAAATGTCCATCCTAGTTTAGTGTCAAAAGCCTGAACTATTGTTTCCAAGTCTTCTAAATGCAGCTTCTGAAATGCGGAAACACTGTCGTTGCACATGCAAAGCAACTAATAGCACATTTCCACGCAAGATGACATCTTCTAGCCTACTGATCTCTGCATTCGTGTTACGGAGTAGTACCGGATTCAATAACCTTCCTCAGGAGAGGCTGACGGCATCGTCTCTGTGCAATCCTGTGGCAAGAAAAATGAGACCGCGCTGCATTTCGCCGCTGAGTGTGGCCGCCTGGAGGTGGTCATCTTGCTTCTGCAACTCGGCGCAACTGTGGATCCAGTGTGTGAGGTGAGGCCGTCCGTTTTTTCACACCGTCGATGGAGCATAGTGCATGGTAACCAGCACCAATATTGAACTACTGGACTGGACGCAATCAGTTTAATCAACACATGTAATTTATCACTGGGTAAGTGCGCTTCTGTTCATGTTGCTCTGTGGCTGTGTTTGGCTGAAGGGAATGTTGGCAGCGATCTGCATGAATGTGTGTGTTCACAAATGGCTCCTTGTCCAAATGGCCTTTTAAACCTGTGCTATTTTCATGGAGACTTGAGTAACACCATGTTCTTGGAAATTCTGTTTCTAGCAAGGCTTCACACCGCTGTCAGAAGCATGTTGGACTGGCCACCAGTCCGTGACAGAGAAATTGCTGGAGCATGGTGCATCCCTCAACCCCAGCGGCATGGTAGGTGCTGAACACATTCAAATGCTAATGAATCAACACCCCGAACAACGTGGGTGGACCTGAAAGTATTGAGACAGCAAAGTTCTTGCACCTCAGGAGATAAAGATGGCCAAGGCTAGAGATTGTTTGTGCAGATATCCAGGTGCCATCACAGCACTATCCTGTACTGTGCCGTTTGATTGCTTCCGCCAGTAGCTTCCCATTTTCCCTTGCGCATTAGCTTGAAGTCATCAATGTGCAAAGCAGGTGATTGTAGAAGTGGTGTTGTGAACCTACAATTGCTCAACATTCTCGATCATGGCACTCCAGCTCAGAAGTTGAACCTCGGTTTGCACACATCCTCACTGCCATTGTGCGCTGCTGTGTAGATGGGTGGTTTGAGCCTTCTGCAGCTTGCCACGGACGGAGGCCGCAGCGAGATCGTCCAGTGGTTGCTTGAAAAGGGGGCGGCGCTGGATGCGACAGACGATGTGGGTGCTGTCGATGGCAGGAAAACTGTGGTATAAATCGTGTGACACAAGCGCCGAATCGAGGCCAGTGGGCCATCATCTTTAAATTATTCGAATTTTGCCCAAGTTCCGTAAACCCTTAGGCACGCAGTGCATGGTTACATATTGCTCGCTTTTTTTGCTTGCTAGCCGACTGGCTGCGTTGGCAGCTGGCCAGCCTACGTGCCTGGCTGGTTTGCATGATTAATTCCCTGTTTGCTTGCTTGCTTGCTTGATTGAGTCATTGAATGAGTAGTTGGTTGATTGACTGGAAGACATTGACTCATGAGCTGCCCCTTCAAATTGAGCAACTCTCAACGCTGGGTGTGATTCACGAAGGTCCGCGTTCAATTGCATGCAATGAAAGCATTCCATTCCATGTTGCATCGCGTTGGCAATCTTCATGATCATCACTGGGGAGGCATTTGGTGTGCAGCACAGCCGAAATCAAAGCCCTTCGCTACCAGCAGCTTTATACACACTCTTGTAGCTCTGTGTGATATCGAATGTCTCGTTTTGGAAATAGAAATCTCAAGTCTTGTAATAACTGTTTTCTGTGTGTCCTTCCCAAGAATTCAGAGACAGCAATGCATTTTGCTGCATGGAGCGGGGACCTAAGCATTGCAGATATCCTTTCTGGCAAAGGAGCTTCTTTGGATACGCAGAACAAGGTGAGGGGCTGTAAAATGCAGCATTGGGCCAAGCTGTCACCATTGTTGAATATTTTATTGATGACCAATATGAAGGCGTTCTGGAAGAAACGAGTGTAGGCTCTGTGGGTCTACACATGTGCCTAGATGAGTATGATAATCTTCAGCGCACATCAGGAGACCGCCTGTCAACAGCTATAGGCAGTGCACCTTTTTGAGGCCAATTCATTGAGCGTAAGGAAGCCCAGTTCAGCTTGATTCACAGGAAAAGGTGTGTTTAACGTCTTTCCAAACTGACGTGTTGAGTACTAGAGTGCTGCCTCCATTCTGGCCTTGGGAAGTTTTCTTCTAGATTTGGTGCGGATGCGCACAGGTTGGAGACACCCCATTGATCTTGGCTGCCAGAGAAGGACACAAAGAGATGGTGGAGTTCCTTCTACAAAGGGGTGTGGATGTTGGTCATCAAAACAAGGTAGCCAGCAACAGCTGACAAGTCTGGGACAAAAGATCCATCAAGGATTGATAGAACCCGTTTTTTTCCGAGCTCAGAAATTTATGGACTCTAGCATGGAGCGGACATAATGTCCACGGAAATCGTGATGGTTTAATACTGTGATATGGGTGTTACGCATGTTTACAAAGAATGTAGAGCATAAAGGACATATGAGCTTCAGTTCCTGCGAATGCATGTCAACAAGGCACAAATGTACTAGAGCGGCGGCGGCCCTCTCGATGGGCGTTTTCTCGACGTAAATCGCAATCAGGTTTGCTGGTCCGATAAATCTTGTGTGTTTGTTGCAAAACGGGTGCCGTTTTTGGTCATATGTACAACATTGTATCCTAAGTACGGCAGCTACATGGGAGAGCATGCCTCAAATTTAGCCTTGGCTATGTCCTCAATATCTGCAGGGCTAGCAATCAGCCATCAACCTTCAATCGTGGTACGCTATTGTGTTCTAATTGCTTAGTGTGCAAACAATGTGCTAATAACTATCCATGTGATTGCTGTTTCTTCTGTGGCTAACACATGCGCCCGTACATGCACGAGTCTTGTAACTGCTACCCGAGTCGGAGTAACAGAGACTCAATGAATTAGAACAGCTTGCACGGAGAACCCTACGTACGTTGTTCTCTTTGAGCACGTAAGACTCGCAACATTTGTTGTGCATCAGTTGGCAGACCACATGCACTGTTTTCCATGTGTCACAGTGCGGGCATGTTTGTGTGCAGACTCGCCACAATGCGCTCTCCGCCGCACATGAGCTGGGGCACCAGGATGTCGTGGACGTGTTGCTGAAGCATGGTGCCGCGCGACCTGCCGACGAGGTGCAGCTATGAAGCACTTGCTGATTAATGGGGCATCGCCCATCGGTTGCTTGAATGGGCGTTTGCCTAGCTGACGGTCTAACGGACTGAATATATAGATATATCTATCTGTTCATGCTGCTTGTCCTCTCTTCTACTACAATGATCATTACCTCTGTTTATCTCGGATGATTGATTGAGTGGAGTCGCCACCGATTTTTCTCAAGGCCGCCTTTTTGCTCCGTAGATTGCTGTGCAAAGGCATGCATGCTTCCTGATGCGTCAGTGCAGTCCAATGGACGCCAGTCCGTGGTATCTGCTCAAATTGTTCCCTTGTTTTGAATTTGTGCCAAAAGTGCAATTCGGAAGCCAATCACTCACCCTCATCAATCACCCTCTCGAAGCATTTAGGCTACGATGGCCCATGTTTTCCCACGGCGCTGGCACAACAGATGCCGGCTCTGCGCCCTGCGAACTTGCCCAACGGGTGGTTCTGTCCAAGCTGCGCCCGCTGGACAGGATGCAGAGGCCAATGGGGCAAATAGTAGAACTGAGAAAGGAATAAAGGGCCAAAAACATGGCAGATTAAAGGTTTCAGAATGGCTGGAATTGGATGGAAGAGCTATAAGAAAGCGGCTCCAACTCAGCGCAACACACACCGCCCTTGTCTCCTCTTGCTTCACTCATCAGATCCTCATTATGAGGTGCGACGGGCCATGACGTTGCTGTCAATATGGTTAGATGGGTGGGTGGGTGGGTGGGCGTTGGGAGGGCGAAGACAGAGAAGAGGGTCATACACACGCACTAGTGGTTCGCAGTACTGGGCGCAGTAGGTGCTCACTGCAGCCTGCTACTGCATGAGTATGGCGTTCACTGATGGGAAAGGTCGCAGACGGACGTCCCGTATCTGCTTACTCATGTGCACTCGGGTCACAATGTGGCCACGGTAACGTCTTTTCAGAGCATGCAACCCTTGTCTAAAGAGGCAGGCGCCTCTCCCAGACTCGCGTTTGAAGTTGCCGCCACGATAGTCGCTTTTGCAGTCATCGTTTTCTCCGCAAGTTGGCCTTGCCAATCCATCGGCGCCTTCCCTTTGCAGCACACAGCTGACTGCGCCTTCCTGTTGTCTTCACCATTCGCTGCAATCGCGAGCATTGCGCCACGTGCGTCGTTATGCGCATGAGCCAGTGTGTCGCCATGTCTGTTGCAGGATGCCCGCGAGCTGGCGCCAGGTCCGATCCCCTGCCCCCCTGATGGTGCGTGGTCTGGCTCCTGGAAGGGAACCTCCAACCGAGAGGAAGACAAGGAGTTCAGGATGTGGAACAGGCTCGTCTTCAAGAACGGGGAAATCAACGGATTTGGCCACGACGACGAAGTTGGCGACTACGGGGTGAGGGGCACCTTCGACGCCGAGGCGCAGACGTGCAAGTTTAAGAAGGTGTATCTGGAGCCCAACATCGACGAGCATCACGAGATGGAGGGAGGGTTTGAGCTGGTGACCAAGGGCTTTTGCATTGCGTGCGTTGTGGTGCAGGGAACTGGGAAGAGGAACGGCAAGGCGGTGACGTTTCGGATGCGGTCTGAAATGAAGGTGATGGAGTTCGTGGACGACAACGGACAGTAGCACTGTTTGCGGGTGGTTCCGCCTTATTTGGTGCAAGTCGTTGGACAGCGCAGCACCGCCATTGAGGGGAAAGAATGGCTGCAGTCAGTGGCTGATTGGTATTTCTAGAAATCGCAGTGCTGTTAAATGAGCTCAAAGCAGGGTGAGCGTGATTTCTGTTCAACATTGTTGATGATTGCCTGGCTCTTGGCAGGTGCGGTGCGGATGTAATGAACCAAAGTCTATATTTCCCGATGGTCGACTACACTGCAGGAGAGGACATGCGGAGGAGTCCTCCACAATCGCGTGCAGTGAAATTGCTGATCGATGTAAGAGCCAAAGACAACTTCATCAAGCTTCATTATTCTATGGGACAACTTCCCGCTGCTAGCAATGATGTTGTGGCCACAGGTTACGTTGCCCGGCAGCATTCTTGACTTGCGGCAGAATATGAGAAACCAAAACGACTACTTCGACCGTAATAGTACGTTACTGAGAACTTGCAGCAAAACTTGTGATCCCACAAAAGATAATATCTCTGCACCTATGGACCAGCGCAGCTGCTAAAAAAGTGTTGCTCTTGCGTCCCAATTATTGAATCAATCTGTGGAAATTTTGGAGGCCAAACGTGAAGAGCCTTCTTCGCGACCCATATCATGACAGGAATGTCCACATCAAGATGGGGAATTGTTTACATGGCCTGATGCCGCGGTTCACAAATAGTTAACTGCACTGTTGGGCACCAAGAAAAGAACATTTTCGGACATATTGTGCTCATAGCATCAGTCGGAACTCAACAATTAGGACATTATCTGGAACTCTGTCCACACCGAACATTGAAATTTGGTCAGGGAGGTCCTTCTAATGTGAATCCATCAAGTCTCGGCATTCCAGGCTTCCCGAGGTGTCCAATACAGAACCCTCCATACAGGACCCCGTTCTTTTTGCAATTTGTGTTGTACCTCAATAATTTGTACTGTCCAAATGAAAGCGGCGTTTCGGTGAGAGGCCGTGCCTGTATCAGTGATTCGTTGTTTTATCCTGAAAACATGTTAATAATTCACAACATGGGTCTATTAAATCAACCTCGGAAAATGCGGGGAAGAGGCAAGTACAGCGTATTCGAAACTCTGACGACTCAGGTCAAATTCCGAATGCTGTCGTGCGTTCTCATCTGCTGTGCTTTCCATTATCTGCATTTCCAAGAGGTCACTGAACAGACTCACAGTCGGCGCTGGCGTCCTGTTCGAAAATGACAAGTGTTTGATATAGAGACAGCATGGCAACATCAGGCGACAAGTAATCCCTTCTCACACTCCTTTACAAATGTGCCAGCTTGATCGGGCGTTGTTCCCTGTACAACAACTATGTACCACGTCAGTTATGCTGTACGGTTTTTAACCTGAGGAAGGTAACAGAAGTGGGACATCAGTATTAGAAGCACCAAGTTCACCTGTCAGGCATTTTGTCTGCAGACAGTCACGACTTTCCAAGCGATGTAGTCGTCTGTCGAAACGAAATCTCGTCCGCACAATTTTCTGACAGAATTGGATAATTTAACATCGCTTTGGCTCTGTCTGGTGACGTCTTACCCCCAAGTCAACTCGATCTGAACCCGTAAGACCACAGGAGTGACATCCCCGGCCACACTGCGCATCAGGTCATCGAATCTCGCTGTTGAGAAAACCCAAGGCGATGTCTGTCCGGGACAGTGGAAGCTTGATCCCTTGTTGGCACTCCTTGCGGAGGCAGCGGAAATGGGGAAACACTGGGAGACGAGGAGCAGGAGGTTCCCTACTTAATTCGGTGCCCTCTGCAGGGCCTCGAAGGGGATAGTCACCTGGAATCGATGGCTTGAGAGCTGTCTCCTATAACTCCCGCGAGAGGTGCAGAGGCAGGAAGCCATGAAACCTTGCAGGAAAGTTCTGCCTCTCGGCCGCTCGTTTTGGTACCCCTTGGCAACACCCCGGCCAGAAACTTGCTAGAGAGCAGGTTCTCATCATCTCCGGCCCTTCTGGGCTGCAGAGGCGTTCGGAATGCTTTGGAGACGGTGGCCGCAGCCATGAGCGGCCGGAGGGCCCACGGGAAGGGGGGCTATCCGGGTTTGTTGTCGTTCACCCTGAACGATTGCGACCCCAGGATCGTGGCGAGGGCGGCGGTGTTGCTGGATTCGTCCTCGAGGATCGGCGCATCCTCGATGGAGGACCTGGAGTTTCTGTGTGTGTGTGTGGTACAACCCGGGGCTGTTGGGGCGCCAACGCGGAGAGACTGAAAGAGGCCACTGAGCCAGTGCTGCGGGATGATCGCGAGGGGAGAAACGGATGGATAAAATTGTCGCCTTAGGGAAGCGCGGCAGTGAGGGAGGCGCTCCGGTCCTGGCTGGTCCCTTCGTCGGAATTGGAGCCTTCCGTCCGAAGTGTGCAGGCCGCACGGCGGGACTGGAAGATGAAATTCTTGCAAATCGGCATGAATGCCGGCAAGGACAAGGGCTGGGGCGACGTGACCTGGGAGAAGTTGGGACAAATGCACATGGGTTCCCTTGCGATGTTCGACTTTCAAGGGTGCGCTCAGAGCAGGCTCTGCTGTCTGGGTACAGGTCGTACCGAGAAACCGTGTCGGTGGCCTGCCCGACGCCTCAACGGTCGCTAGACATGGTTAACCCAACATTGCTGGAACACAAGACCAGAAAATGACTGGTGCACTATGGGGCAGATCCGTTCATGGGGTTCCTGCGCAATGTTGACGACGAGAGCGTGCGGAAGGCAGACAGCATGGGGGGCGTGTGCCATGTACAAAAGTTGTCAATTTGGCCGACTCTGCTCAAATGGCGCTTGAGATGCGGCCCAGAATGTTGGTGGTCAAGCCAGGTACCAATCTTGCATTGTATTTTTGTATGCCATTGGCACAATCTCTTCCCAATTTTGAGTAAAGAAAAGCATGTATCCAGCTATTCAAATAAAGTTGTTGTAGACAACCAGGCGGCTGTCCAGTGAACTCTATTGGCGAGGATTATCATCCTGTTGCGTGGACAGAATCCAACACATGTTCTCTGACGAATATGGTGCATCCACCAATCAAAATTGTGCGAAGGGCGTTCATATGACTAAACATACTGTTAATGAGTTTCTCCAAGGACGACGTTGGGTGGTCGCGTGCCGGCCATTCTGTGATGGGGCTGCTGTACTGGACCGTTTCAGGTCCACCTGGTATCAGGTTTCTGTCAACCCTGTACACGGGGACGCTTAAGGGGTGGATGGGGGTTGAGGAGGGTCTCCAGATTTGCGACACTAAGAGATTATATAAGGGAAGACGGTTTGTCGATTTCGCTGCGCTCAGCGTCAATTTGACGTTAAGTTCAGACCCCCCCCCCCCCAAAAAAAAAGAATCCTTATGTCGAAGCCAGGATGACTCGGTATCATTACAGAATGTGTGCTGCCAATTTATTATGTCTGGAAGGAGGAGAAACAGCCAGAGCTGCAGAAATTTTAGTGAGCTGAAAATTGAGATGCGAAATGCTATAGCAGGCGAAGGGGGGCAGTTTCGAAGGCCGCCAATCGAGATTTTATGGGGCTTTTTGTGAATACTGAACGCCACAGGGAAGTTTTGAGACAAGTCATACGTCTGTTGGCACTTTCCAGAAGCTTTTTAGTATTTTCCAAGTTTATGTCAATTTTGTTGCAATTCCAAAATGCCTTAGCGTGACAGGTCTGGAACCCCCCTCCAAAGAAAGGGAAATTGAGATTAAGCGGAACAATTTTGGCATAGTGTCTTCCACAAACTCGACATAGGGAGGTAAGGCTCCCACAAAGCGCGACTGTTAGGCGGAAAACAACCAGTGACATGTTCCTAGGATTCCTACAAGTGTTAGATCTCCAAAGAAGGCCTGAGAACTGATCAATTTGCAGCCATTGAGGCTGCTCGCCTCACCTATAATGGCATTTAGAATCCTATTTCTCAACCACTGAAATCAGCACAACTTTGATTGACATTTTTCTCCTTAAAAACACCTGGAAATTGAATACAACTGTTAGGTTATGTTGCTGAGCCATCCTTGCTTCGACGTAACGTTTGACGCTTGGGATGGGGTGGGGTGAGGGTGGGGGGGGTGAGGGGGTTGCGGGGGTTTGGGGGTTGGGGGGTTGGGGGGGGGGGCTGGGGGGTTCCTCAGCTTAACATCAAATTGATGCTCAGAATACAAAATCGACATAGCGTCTTCCTTAACCTGGGCGTATACATAGAGACAGGTGAAGCTGGCCCTTGGTTTTGACGGCAGATTTGGCAGAGAGTGCGAGCGACTATTCGGGCCCGATCCCTGGCGCCCTCCTTAGCTTGTTTCATACCCGGCCGGCCCATCCTAGTAGAGTGAGATTGGGCTAGTAATGGGATGGAGAGCTAGTTGAGTATGGGGAAAGGGGAGCTAACTCAGGGCCGAGACACCATCAGTGAAAATTGCAATACAAAGCGAGGGGGGACAACTTCAAATGGGTCGCCAATTGGGTCTTGCATTAATGAGGTGATGGACCCCAGTACGTTTGTGAGTGTAGTGTCTTATCGTACGGGGAACACGGGGAGGTTGGGGGAGACGGGAAAACAGAAATGGCACATCCCACAGGCTTCAAATCTGGCTGACCGTGTGGCGCCAAAGCACCCGCAGATAGTAGCGAAGCGACGAGCAACTTCAGTCCACCCGTTGTAAGCCATCCCAGCGCTTTGGAATAATAAGATGATGGCACTTCCCCATTTACTCAAACCAGCCTGCATTCCCAATCCGAAAACAGAAGCCATACCACCATCGATGCGTCCTTTCAGGCATGTGGCGCCACCGGCGGGGCACCATTCACTCCAATATTGCTTTCCCATTCTGCTTGTTTTCCATATGTACATCTGCGATACCCACCAGCTGCTCACGCCACACCCCCACTCACACAACCTCGCATCTCACCGTCAACCCTGTAGCCACCGATCAGGGACAAGGCGCTAGTCCCAAGAACTGTACTTCCAAACTGCCGGCACAGCATTGTAGAAGTACACGTTGTCCGTGTAGTAGAAATCCGTCATGCGGTAGCGGCTCTGCTCCAGGAATGCGACGTACGGTATGCCGCTTGGATCGAAGGTGAAGTGCACCTGCGTCCAGTCGGCCTCGCTGCCGACCAGCTCGTGCGACCATTGCAGTGCCCCAAGAAGGCGGTCAAAGGGGTGGCTGAAGAACTGATAGCTCCCGTCGAAGGGATCGGAGTTGAAGGCCAGGATCCACAGCTTGGCATACAGCTCGTAGTCGGGCCACGTGACCTCCCCGAAGTGGAAGGTCTTGAAGTAGAAGTAAATGTTATTTTGGTGGTCGAGGGTGAACCTGAAGCCATCCGACCAGCCCTCGTAGAGATCGCCGGGGAGCCCTGTGAGGTCATCCTTCGTCAGGGTGAAGACGTCATCCCAGCGCTCCTCCATTTCGTTGTACTTTACGAAGGATATGCCCCTGTCCCTCCATTGCGCCACCCTGTCGCTGGCCCGGCGGATGTGATTGTACGCCATGACCGGGGATCCCGTGCGGTCGAAGGTGAGTGAGCAGAAGTCCACGTTTCCCACGTCCTCGATGAAGCCTTTGTACGGGCTGATGTCCTCCCAGGAGGAGGTTGATTCGTCGTACCTAAATCAACGAAAACAAATGCTCGCTCATTTGGTGAATGTGGCGCATGCGCTTGTGCTCAGCTCTTTGCGCCAGTGGATATGGAGATTGCGTGGCAATAAAAGATTCAACGATATGACCCTCTGTATTTTGCCTATGCTACGCCTATGCACAAGAGGAGCAACAAAAGGCTCTGAATGTCCTGGATACGGGGCATTCATGTTCTTACCACATACACTATGTGCTACAAGATGCTGCCTTCTTTACCAAGCCGTTTACCGAATGCCGCCATATATGTATGCTACTTGTCATACTTTGTCTACCTTGGTGAACACTTCTGAATATAACACTCAGTGGCGCTGGTAGGTGTTCCCTACATTCCTAGGACCAAAATGCAATATGCATGCCAGCCGGGCGCGTGCCCCGGCATGGATGGCATGCTTCATTATCCGTAAAACAGTGCGCAATTTTCCGCATCTGGTCAATGAATGGATTCGACGGAAGCAGCGCACGATATGGGCTTTCGTTACGATAAATTAAAAGGAAATAAATTCAGCAGCGCATCAATAGGCGAATCAATGCATGTGATATCTGTTACCCATCAGGCCACTGCCATCATGGGCGGTGCTGCACATCAGTTACTCTTATGCTTGCAAATTTGACCATATCTTCTGCCTCCCAGAATTGTTTGCTTCTCCCATATCTGGATCCAGGCACTGAGCAGAGGAAACTCACAGAAGATCAACATGTTTGGACAGTTGCAAGGCAATAAATGATATAAAAGGCCCCCCAAACTTCTCTCTTCCGGGCACGTGCAACGCTTTCCATTTCGATATAGAATAATGCACGCGTTTGTGCAATGATCTGCCCATCATGCACTGTGCCCCACTGCACCTGTTTTACTTGAGTTTGAGTTTATTCTATGCTCGATTTGCATTGAGGAACTAAGGTCAAACATTGGGTGCAATGGAATCATGCAGTATTCCGTATCCGCTCTCATTAATGGTGCTTGGCCATGATCAATCAGATGCGATGAAGAAGTGCTGTTGAACGTTAGTGCAAATTGTACCTGAAGACGTCGGGGTAGCTTCTTGGGTCGGCTACCTCAAGTTTCTGCCCTGCAGAGAAGCAACCCGAGATGTACAGCTGCCCGTTGTAAGGGTTCTTCGCAATGCCGATTTTCACCCCCTCTTGAACGTACATCCCTAAATGCATGTTCCTCGACCCGTCCAGCGCTTGGTTGTCCACAATATACCCTACAACAGTATTGTTCCTTCTCCAATCGCCCACGACGGCGTGAAATATCCCGTTGTCGTCTATCATGCTCGACACACAGTTGTGGCCGTAGGTGAAGTAATGCCACTGGAAGAACAGGTGCGGCATGTACATCTGCAAGGCGCTGGGCGATGAGGCGTGATGAAACAGGACTATGCTTCTTGACCATTCCTCCGTTGGATATTCGCACATTGACAGATACACGTGCTCCTCCTCTGGGTCTGCCGACTTATTCACATTTACAATCGCACGCGAGTAGCCCATCTTCTTGGGGTCCGTGGGATCCCTGTGCCCGCGCGGCACAAACGATCCGCGGAAGCCCAGCACACGCCAACTGCCATCTTCGTACTTCACCACCGTGAACCGCCCGGTGTTCCCAGGCTCCATGTCCTGAAATCCCAAGTAGGGGGTTCCGTCGCGGTCGAAGTCCAGAGACAACCCC